TCTAATTACGTTCAAATACAAGATTCGTAGTAGTAGTTGATAGAGATCGTAAATTTAAATCCAATTCACCCGCTAATCCAGTTCATTGTTTCACTTCCATTGGATTGGCGGATTTATGGAATGTTGGAAAAGTATAGTTTAGTACTTCTTTTTATTTTATTTGGTACACTTCGATACCTACTTTTTATGATAAATATTATTATTAAATTACATTTTGATACCTTTTTTATAATGACATTTTAGTACCTAAAAGTTACAAAATTTTCATAATGGTCCGATGTTTAAATGTCACTTGGATCTATGAATCCACCAATCTAATCCATTTGATCCACCAACCCAACCCAAATCCATCCATTTGTGCACATGCATATGTATTCTGTCTATGTCAATATTTTTCTGAACATATTTGATATTGATTATATAAATTCTTTCATGAAATTTAACGAGATATGTCTCTCACCTTAGGCGAATCTGATATCGACAAAGTACGATAGAGATTCATGGTTCACAAGTAAGAAACCAACCTTAATTTACAAGACGCATTTTAGGGTGAAATGGGTTAGGGATGTTAAAAGTGGTATCAAAGCATCCTCGCGTCCCTCTTGAACTATGGTGGGGCAAACCTCAACGAGGATGTTAAGTCCCAAAAGATCAAGGTGTATGTAACAACTTAGGTGAATCCCACATCGACAAAGCACATGAGAGATCCATGGTTCATTGGTAAGAAACCGACCTTAACTTACAAGACGCTTTTTAGGGTGAAATGGAGGATTTTTTTCGTGAGAACTCCAAAGTTAAACGTGTTCAGCATGGAACACTGCAAGGATGTGTGACCTTACAGAAAGTTACCTTGATATGCACCCCAAGGCAAAATCCGTGAGGGTCTGTGCCCAAACCAAACAATATCTTGTTGGGAAAAGATTCATGAAGTTACAAGTTTGTCATTTTAATTAAGCATTACCACCTCTGTACCAAATTTGAAATACTAACTACCATTTACCACATTTCACCACCGTCTACTACTAGTTACCACCTTATTGCATTATAATTGATCCTGATTTTTTTATTGTGCATTTCGCGATGAACTCTTTCCTTCTATGCAATTTATGAGTTAAAATGAAGGTTGCACTATGGTGTAACGATTGGTGAAATGGGAGGTAAGATTTTTCCACCAAAATATATATTAAAAATTTTGAATATAATTTTTTTATATCACAATGAACCCATTTCATATTTGCAAAATTTTTTAAAATTTTGAAATAAATACATAAAAGATACAAGGTGATTAAAAAAATACGAAAAATAAAAAAAAACTTTTCAATTTTCTTCCAAGCTCTTCATCAAAGGATTTGGTTGGAATTATGGACTGAACGCAACAATAACGGCACTTCAAGGATACCAAATGGGATTTTTTATCATTCTCCCTCACTAATAGAACATGGTTCAACATTTGTTTGTGGGTTATTTGCGCATCGTCGAGTTTCACTCGATGATATTCAAAGATAAGTTATTCTGCTCTGTATGTAGCTATAGGATTCTCTTTAAATACTGCCTACCGATTTAGTTTTCAATATTCGTATTTTATGGTTGAACTACCGATTCAATACGATTTCATGGACCAGGGGAGGAAGGGATCGGAGAAAGGCAATGTCATGTAGAGAAAAAAGAGATGGACTGATGGCAGAATGTATATATTTTAGATTAGTGGTGGAATGGGCGGGTGGTGGGGATCGAAAGGAGACGTAGGATATACATGCCCTGCTCTCTAGTGTAAGGGCCGGGTGTCCTCTGCAAGGGACAGTCCTGCATTCAATGTAGTTTGGAAATTACCATATATGATTTTTTTTAATCTATATTGCCAACTTCAAAAGAATTAAATAAATAAAAAACAAATAATTCCAGCCCTAGGGCGATTGATCAAATATTACGTACTCCATATGAATAATATCTGATCACAAAAGGTCTGGAACTGCAAGAAGAGAAGGGTATAATATTGGTGTATGTATCTGCCTGCCTCTTCATCAAATATATTCCTCAACGACCAGAGAACAAGAAAAATGTGCCTCCAAAAATACAGAATATATAATAATAAAATGTTCTTTCTTTCTTCTGGGTGCATGCGGCAACTAATGGCATTACATATATCTACTTCTATCCTCTTAAAACCATTTTTTTTAATATATATGGTGGCGTCTACCGTGCACTCACTTTTTTTTGTGTATTCAGTGCACTCGCTTCATAATCGTCATTTTAAACATGAGATTTATGTCAAAATGATGTCAATCATCACTTACGATGTGATGAACAATAACGCACATGAATTTGCTCAAAAACCATGAAAGATTTGCTTTAATTTAAAGGATTTAGAGTTTAAAGATCTAGGGTTAGAGTTTACAGTTTGGGGTTTAGGGATATAACTCAAAATTGGAGGTCTAGGGCTTAGGGTAATCCCGCTAATTAGTTGTTATCATATGTTATATCATCATATTATACTAATTCTACAAATTAAAATTCAAAATCCGACTCCTTAAGACTAGTTTTTGAGTTGGGTGCATTGAACGCACTCATTTTGGTGAGTGCACCGAAGTAGTCACCATATATATATATTCAAGACACCGCCAATGTCTGTGTGTAGATATATACCCATATCAATATGATGTCAAATAATCAAGTCATAAAATATCGAGTTTTAACGTGGTTCGATCAAGATAGTTTTATATTTACATTGAGAAAGTGTATCTTAGAGATAATTTCATTGAATTGTTAGTCACCATATACCTTACAGTGAAACCTACATACAAATATAGCAAAGTAGTGTACGCTTGGCGTAATGGCGTATGATTTGCCGGAACAAATCGTAATTATACTAATATAAATAGGTACCAATAATTGACATATACATCTTTAATATGAAGTATTGTTCGATGCTATATATGATAAAAATGTAATTTTCTTTAAGTATGATGAGCAGATACTTGTAATTTGTAGGTATACGTACTTAGTTGTAACTAATTTGATTGTTATGTATACAAGTTGTACCTTGTACCGTTTTCAGTCTATATGAGATTTGCATGTTTTCTGTCTTCCGCAACCCTAATTCTCAAATCTAACACGGTATCATAGCCGAAAATGGCTCGTTTTCTATGATTTCTTCCAATTATATCGTCTACTCGAATTCCACTTCTCTTAATCTATGGTGGCGGCTCGGCAAACAACTTCAATGATTCCTTCGACGTTAATCACCGTTCTTCCTCAATCAGAATCATATGCTCGTTCTCGTACTGACGTTTCTTGATGCGGCCGCGACATCGATCTTTACATTTATAGACTCGATCGTCAGCAATACTAGCTACCCCAATCCAGGATAAGTGCACCGTAGAATAGTGAAATAATTAGTGGTGACTGATGTCGTATTCCAAGGGTCACGGTATCCTAGTCTACTTTGGTTCGGTTGTTATCTAATCGACCTGTTACTTAGCAGATGGGCAGTTGGCGATTACTGAACTAGGAAACAATAGGAGAGAAGAGATACTCGAGGTGCCTCCCTCTCCCTAACTACAAGTAATGACATGCAAAAGGATAAACAGACGACATATGGAGATCGAGGCACAGAGATCGCTAACCTAAGGATCAACTCAATGGCCATGCAACCGATCCACTAGTCCTATGTCACCTCAGCTAGCTTTACGTTGTAGGGATAATACCTATCTCCGCTAATGGGTTCTACCCATCCTCACACTAGGTCGTCGAGTCGATGGTTATGCACTCGACGTCCTACCATTACCTAGGTGGATCTAATGGGCAAGGGTACGGTCGCCTGGTCCACCACACTAGATTCCTAGATTATTCATCTACTCCTAATTAGCTAAGGCACTCAAATCTAGTCCAGATCGATCATGCACTCATAAGTGGTGGGCTAATATGAAAAGAGTTGGAGAGACAAGCTCATGCATAATTAATCATAGATGAAGCATAAAACACTAGGCAAACTTAATTCATCCATAAACCACAAGAAAGAAGATGATAATTCTCCTAAATACCTAAGTTTCACTAAAATTAAAATACCTAAGTTTCACTAAAATTAGCTCATGCATAGCTTGATCTTTCTCCCGTATTAGTTAGATTTGAGAATTAGCACTACAGAAGATAGAAGTTTATGATTATAGTATTGGAAACCTGGATTTCTCACATGTTTTGCTCAATCTTGTTCTGCTAGTATTCATAGACCGAACTATTTTGCTAACATTATCTCTCTAGGGTTTGTCATTTGGGTGTATGAGAGTCCAAAATCTAGCTCCCTCCCCCCTTCCCTGCTCTCTAACATTTCTGTGTTGTTGCACCCTTTTCTTCTTTTCCTATTCTCTCTCTTGATCTCATATATGATCCCCTCCCAAAGTTTCAAAAGGGGATCATCTTCTTCTACCTATTAGTCTCCAATATAAATGGTACAACCTATTTATACACAGAGCAGTGGGGAAGTCACGGCCGTGACTTTGAGATTTTTGGCAGTGACTTTTAAAACACAACGCAACAATTAGTGGCAGGGGAAAAGTCATCATTTTACTTTGCTTGTTCAGCCCGTGACTTTTGATCAGGCCTATGAAAGTATGTCACAACCTGCATTTCTTGATTCTCACGTTCGTGATTTTCATGTTTGTGATCGTGCGAATCATTGTTGGCCTTCTTTTGCTCCTTGTTGGTCTCCAAATGCCCCAAAATTTGTTCTCAAACTTTCACCACACTCTAAGACCTTAAATATAGTAAACCAACGCAACCTACCATAAAATTGACAAAGAAAAGGGCGTTCAATACAAATGGCCAAGAAACAATCAAGAAACGAAGGGTAAAACATGTATAACTGAGCACGTATCATCTCACACAACTTCCATGAGTTAAGGTAAGGAGAGAGGCAAACTCTGTGTCTTACCCCTTTTTTGGCATAAAAGAATCCAAATAGGCTTCCATGGATTATAAACCTAAAGTTGACCATTTCAATACAAGCCTTAATCCAATTTATAAAATGCCTAGCAAGCAGCTATTAGTGCAACCATTGCATGCATTTTTACACATAACATCGTATGCAACGACTCTATACTCTGTCTGATCATATGCTACACATATTTTCTATACGTTTCAAAGAGCGTGCACATTTCATTTTAACTATTCAGGAAATTATGCAAAAGTTGCTAGATCAATATATACAATCCATTAAAGTAAATTCTAATAACTGATAGAAATTTCTCTCGCAAGATAAAGTCAAGAATTTAGGAATCGTTTGGATAGAGTACTATTATAAACGCGCTGCTACGGATCGGGAAAATCGCAGGAATCGATAAAGCAAGAATACGAAAGCGAGAATCGAAAAACACAGACACACGATTTACGTGGTTCACTAACACGATGTGTGTTAGCTACGTTCACGGGCGAGAGAGAACCAGTTTCACTATATCGATCGAGGAGATTACAGAGGAGTATGAGAAGTATTTATAGTACTTCTCCATGTGGGTCTAAACCTAATCCAATCTGGCAAAGGAAACAGTTACAGACCAGGCCCAGAACCCGAACCCAAATAACATTGAGCCCATACACCGCGGGCGTTGCCCCTGGACCCCACTCGCTGACCGGGCAGCGAGACCCCGATTACCAGTCGTAGCGGCTGATAGTCCGATTCAAGTCACATCAACAAGTACTATTTGAGTGAGTTATTTGAGTCTAAATAACTCACAATTTGGATCCAAATAACTTGTTTGACAGCATTTTACCGAGACAAGTTATTAATGCAGCGAGTTATTTTAAAATAACTCAAAACGAGTTATTTGAAATAACTCTTACCCCCGTATTATTTCAAAATAACTCATTACCGCTGAAATATCACACGAAACAATTAACAAATTATCCGACTAGAAAATTAATCCCCTTGTAAACCTATAAAAGTCTGAATGAGGAGGAGACATAGACCATATAATTCATCCTGAAAAAGGGAACAAACACACACATATAGATACCCATATCTATAGGGATCAGTCATTAGGGTTTATCAGGATTAGGGATCTATCTATCTACATATGAGCTCCCGTTTTGCAGGTAGATAGATCAGGGCCTTGTACTTTTGTTACTATTGCAAAATAGTAAGAGATCTATATGTTTTTTTTTTAACGGCTGTACTGTGCTGCTGCAGTATCAATCCCATCCCACAATAATTAAAAAGAGAAGAGAAATTGGAAGTCACGTGAATATTTTAAGCAAATTTTAGTTTTTTTTTTATTATTATTGTGAAGAATTTGGAGGGGCCATATGATATAATGTCTTCATCCTTTGTTTGTTTATATAATGCAACATGGTGATTGTAGGGCTGCCCTTCCCCCCTCTGCCATTTCTGCTGCTGCTGCTGCAACCCTTTTCTTCCTTTCCTTTCTCTCTCTCTCTCTTGATCATCCCCTCTCCTCTCCTCTCCAGCTTCAAAAGGGATCATTTTTGTTTCCCTTCTACTCATCGGTCTCCAATATAAATGGTGGTACAACCGCCCATCTTCAAACTGATCATCACTTAATTTGATCATCCATCCATCCATCGATCTGCAGCTCCCGTTTTTTTCCATGATCATGAGTACCACTACTACCCAACCCAATCCTTCCACCTATCACCAGTTCCCTCACTTTTCCATCGACCTTAACCAGGATCACCACCACCAACAACAACAACAACAACAGCAATACCTGCAACATGCTGCCCATTTCTTCAGTAGTAATAGTACCAATTCGTCTTCTCCTCCTCCTCCTCCACCTCCTGCTTCTCTCCCATATCACATCTTCATCGACGTCGAGGATCCCGATGCTGCTGCTTGTCGCCACGTGGCGGCAGACTACTCCAGCTGGGGGCTGCCTCCCACCTTCCGCCACCACCACGAACCACAACAGGAGCAGCAGCAAAAGGTAGAACGAAAAAAGAGAGCGAGCTTCAATTCCGTTCTGTTTTCGCTTTTTTTGTTTCTTTTGCTCTTTGGCTGTATGTTAGTAAGATCACTGGTGTCAAACCCACCTCCCCAATCTTTCTGTTTGGACCCGTGATCGCAGGCCAATGATCATACAACTAATGGTGTGGTGGCGAAGGAGGAGAAGATGATGGCCATAAGTACTGGCTGCTGCAGCAGTGATCATCATCAGACGGTGGAGCCGAAATGGGTGCCTTGTTCTGCTACGACCAAGGTCAGGATGACCAAGAAGAATAACAAGCTGACGATCAAGACAAATACTAATAATACTGATCATGGCCGCACCAAAAAGTACTCGGCTTTTGCTTGGGATCCACAAAAGACGAGCCACGACGCGTCGCCATCGACTTTCCAGCAGCAGGCTGCTGCAGCTATTGCGACGGATCAGCTTTGCAACAATTCGCCCTTGAGCAGCAGCGGCGGCGGCGGCAGTCCGACGGTGGTGGTTAGGGTTTGTGCGGATTGCAACACCACCAAGACCCCGCTCTGGCGGAGCGGACCCCGAGGCCCCAAGGTAACTGCTTTCGCAATAATTCACACTACCCTTTTTACCCCTCGAACCCAAAAACGTAGTGTTAACTTACGTTTTTGGGAAATGGATTTCACAAGTATTTTATTAATTAATTATGATAAAATGATATAACTATCCTTCACGATTAAGTAAATTAGTCAATTTGCACGCCTAACATTTTTTTGTTCAGCCGCTCTTAACCTAATATATAAAATCTTCATTTTGCTCATATATCCTCTCTTTTCTGTGCTTTCCAGCCAAATCTCCAAATTTCATTTCTCTACTAGCTAGACTGCAACGCTGCTAGCTACTACTTATTTCACAATTTTTGAAAATATTCAAAGAATGAATCTTAAACTATTTATAATCTTTTAGATCGACAGACAAAAGGGCGCCTTAACCTCTATTGTTAATCACTCCAAACTCAGCTATGGAGTTTTATTCTCACACACACACATATATACTAACACCTTTCATTTTTCTATGGTGCAGTCACTCTGCAATGCCTGTGGGATCCGGCAGCGAAAGGCCAGACGGGCCATGGCTGCCGCCGCCGCTGCGGCGGCAGCCGCAGAAGGCGGCGCAGATTTAGCCGGAGTAGACACAATAACGCCCCTACCACCGCCGCCTGCAACCACCATAAAGATAAAGACCGGGAAGGGGAAACACGCCAACAAGAACAAGCTGGCGCCGTCCGCCAACAGCCACCTCCCTTTCAAGAAGCGGTGCAAGTTCGCGGCCCCCCGAGGCAGAAAGGCTGCTGGTACTACTACTAGCGCCGCCGCCACCATTACGACAGATAACAATAACAGCAACAATAAGCTGTGCTTCGAGGATCTGGTGGCGATACTGAGCAAGAGCTGTTCAGCAATCCAGAGGGTTTTCCCTCAAGACGAGAAGGAAGCTGCCATCTTGCTCATGGCGCTGTCCTATGGCCTGGTCCAGAGTTGAAACAATTAATGAGTTCGTTTCCCTTTTTGGTTTTAGTTTGATTAATAATTGTTGATTGCTTTTTTGTCCCGGATTAATCAAGTGATTCTGGGATATATAGCAAGCTGGGTTTTGGTAGTAATGGGGGTAGTATTAATGAGGTTTTACCTTAATCAGTCAAGAGTAATTTCAATAATTATAAGGTGATTAATTAGATAGAGAGAGATGATTTATGATTAGAAGTCATGTTTGTAATGTACTATGGGATCTCTTGTTATATGTATTGGGATAGCTAGGATGAGCATTTGAACAGGTTGATAACCTCTTGTTCATCTGCATCATTATATGTATCAAGCTTTTGATAAACTCTCTCTATATATATTCCTTTTGGGTCCAAATCCCTTATTGCTTAGACCACTAATTATCACGAGTCGTGAGCAGTTACGCTTTTAACGTTTTCAGGGTTATCAAAACGCTTCTACTTAAAGTTCCGCTTTTCCTAACTAATGTAGTCCAAAATTGTACTTTAAAACTTTAAGTTTTTACGTTTTTAAGTCACCAAAACGCCTCTGCGTAAAATCGCGCTTTTAATTATTACATTGGTCATGAGTGTATATTCTCCTCTCTAGATCGGGCAGTTGCATTCGTAGGTCTTTTAGTGGCGATAAAACTCTTGTTAAGTAAATTATTACCAGTACACGACTTTGTGATCGGATCGTCCATTCGAGTGAATTTGTCGGATGGATCGAAATGTTGGAGAAAGAGGGGGGCCCGGGTGGGGGGGTGGTGATGATGGGGGTGTAGTAACGAAAATTGTACCTTTGTGTGTGGAGAGAGTCACGAGATCATGGGGAGAGGAGAGGAGTGAGTGAGTTGTTTAGCCTTTAGAGGTAGGCTCAATGACTTATCTAGTATTGAGTGGTCAAGATGTGATCAACACCCATGTCCACGGACTCCCAAGGCCTAAGGCTGAAATGGACTTGCTAGCTAGCTAGCTTCCAAACTTTGTATTTTCTCTTTTTCCCACATATCTATAGAGTCTCTCTAGACAGTGCTGGAGCTAGTCATGGATGAAAATGAAAACAGATGTGTGTTTGTGAAAATTATAACAACCCTCTTTTTATCCGATCTGGTGGTCGCGTGATTAGACGAAAACACGGTGTGGGTATATTCGTAGCCGTTTTGTGATCGACATTTGTGCGATAAGTTGCCTGTTTGAAGGAATCAATATAAGTTTTGGGGTAAATGTAACAATCGTGGTGAGGTCAAGATTTAGAGTAAGATGACATAGAAATAATAGAAAAAAAGAATTGGAATCCGGGAAGAGTGAGGAATATGATAACTTGCCGTTGTGCATGCAAAATGCAACTATTCGATTCTAGTATAATAAATTATGGTAGTTTGGGCCATTTCGGAAGTTGGCTTAAACTGAATAAAATTATCGTCCTCGAGATGGGGCGCGCGGTCGACTCAAGATTTTCCCTCTATGACGACCCTCGAGTCAATTGAGAAAAACTAATTCATTAGCGGGTGTTTCTTTAGAGAGTGAAGTTATTAGCCAAGAATTTGCTACCTTGTAGTCGGCGTGATTGGTGGATTATAAAACTAAATCATGAACCCCCGTCAATGGAGCAGACATGGCGCTTAGTGTTTTTAGCTGCATGTCATAACAACTGTGTATGGCGTATCGTGAGGATACTTACGAATTCTTAGTGACTAATAACTGGTAAGAGAGTGGTATAAGAAGAGCGAAACAAAAAAAGGACTCTCGACTTTGCATGTCGCCGAGATAGTCATGTCAGACACGAATAGTGTACGTGGAAATCTTCTCTCGCCAATTCGATCGCGGTATCACGAGACCGCGCGCCTAAGGGCACTATATTCCCTCCCTTACTATAAAACCACCAACCTAATAACTAGCTATAGAATGATATATTAAAGATTAGGGTTGTATATATATATATATATGATTAGAAGCATATGATGATCAAGTTTCTTGGTGTTCTCTCCCTTCTGACCTCTCTACACACAATAGATGGAACATATGGGGTATGTGTAAGTTGGGACATATCAATCATACATAGGGATGATCCAAAAGGACAAGAGGCCAGGTCACAGCTTTTTGTGTGTCTTCTCCACGAGAAAAATCATATGGAGGGGCCGCCGCTTCCGTCCTTGATGTCGTGCGTTGAGACCATTATACATAAATAATAACGAAGTGGGAAATTGGGGTAAACCCTAACACTAAAATGTGAGATAGCTAGCTAGAGATCAATCTTTGTCTGATTCCGCGACAGACATATATGGTCTATGATTGAATAGTACGTGTGTGAGAGAGGGCTGCGTGTGTGTTCTGTGGTACAACAACATACAGCAGCAACAATGGGGAGGGATCGTGTGAATGGAAGTTGACGAGTGAAATGATGATCCAGTTGAGGAATAGGAGGGCCCTCAATGGGTCATTTCATTGTGTGTGTGTTCTTTTTAATATGAAATGAAATGTTGATGATTACTACTTGGCTGGTGATTGGAGGAGTGTGGCTCAGAATCATACTCTGGAATTGAGGATATAGGGTTATGAACAGCATCTCTGCATCTCATGAATGAAGCTATACAGTACTATGGATGGATGTTTGTTGGGTAATGTAGGGTTAATGTCTTAGTTTGGCTCGAATTATAGACAAACTTTCTACTTTGGCCAGTGGTATCGAAATTTGCTCTTTTGGCATGGACTATACACCATACTTCCTTATTTGGCCCAGAGGCGGGTTTGACCGTCAAATTGGACGGTCAACCGAGTTAACCGTTAGTCAAGGTCCAGCTCATTCGCCATGTCAGCTAATTTTTTAATAAAAATTTTATTTTTTGAATTTCTATATTCTTTTTACTTATTAACCCTAAATAATAGCAAACGAAAACAAAAAATAATCAAAACCCCCTAATTTCTACCCTCCCCTCTCACCTTATCCTCACGCAACCTTCCAAACCTTCCAAATGCTAAATCAACAGCAGAAACCAGAACAAACCCTAAGCTACTAAACCAGAACCCCCTAATATCTCATGATTGAATCTTTCAGCATTTTTGGATCAATTTGTTCTTGACATGGTATCAGAACTTTCGGTGATCGAGATGTTTTGTGTTCGAGTTCTAACGTCTCAATTTATAACCACATAGTATTCATACATGTGCAAGCTACAAGTCTATATATGAGTTTGCTTTCAAACCGCGTGTTAGTAAATGGTATAGGATCTACAAACATCTCCCAAAAACTTGAGTTATTGGACCAACATGAATTCCTTCGATGGTCGACATGTCTTGTTCTCAAATCTCGAGAAGTCTCATTTGTTAAGTACATGGTATTCTTTTTGATATATGCGAACTTCGAGCCTACATATATTGATTGGCTTTGTTTTAAGGGGGGCGTGTTAGTAAATATTATAAAATCATAATTGAATCTTCCAACAACTTGAATTATTAGGACCAAATGGTTCTTGAAAGTAGGGGTGAAAAATGATCCAATGCGGTCAAACCAAACTGGATTTACCTAGTTAACCGGGTTGAATTTCTGCCATAACTCTAACTGGAAACTGTATCCGATCGAAACTGGGTAGAGTTGTGTAGTAAATGGTATAAGATTTATAATTGAACCTCCAAATAATTTAAACTTTTGGACCAACTTGTTCTTGACATGGTATTAGAACCTTCAATTATCGGGAGGTCTTGTACTCGAATCCCAACGACCACCATTTGTTAAGCACATAGTATTCGGACTAGTGCAAACTTCAAACTCATTTGAGTTGGCTTTCATTTGAGGGGGTATGTTAGTAAATGGTATAAATTCCATAATTGAACATCTCACAACAACTTGAGTTATTGAACCAACAGATTATGACATGGTATTAGAGCCTTCGATAACCAACATGTCTTATGTTCAAATCTCGATGACCCCCATTTGTTAAGTATATGGTATTTAAGTCTGTGTTATCTTTAAGTCGGCTTTCGTTTGAGAAGAATTTCAGTAAATAGTCTAAAATCGATAATTGAACCTCTTAACAACTTGAGTTATTGGTACCAACTGGTTTTTTTACTATGCGAGAAAAAAACTTTTTTTTAACATTCATTTGTGTAACATGTATTATTCATTAGCTGGGGTTTTAAGGATCCAAAAGTTTCATACTTGCTAGAAGTTTTGGAGCATCACCACTCACCACCGTGTCGTCAACGTAGGTAAGAAGAGGTTGGAGATTTCCGAGTAGTAGTAATTAAAACCAAGGATGGATCATTTTCACTCTCAACAAAGTCGACTTATTCCATTTTTATGAATTTTTTTTGTGTAATTGGGGTCTCTCTACAAGTTTCTCTTCGGGACGAGATTTTTTATGCCTCTACTGTAAATTTGTTTAAATTCATATGAATGAATTTTTACTTGTTACCATTAATTGTGTAAGTATTGTAATCAATGAGCTAGGTAAGAACCTGCATAAAGCGTCTTTCTTTATCTCACAAGCACATTGATATTAAATATAAGAGCATGCTTTGAAGTTTGAACTGAATGAGTGAAGAATTAAGCAATCGGGTTAAGCTAAGAGGCAAAATCCAAGGACAGACAATAAAGTATGGGGAGTTCCAGCTAGTGATGGCAATAGGGCGGGGCGGGGCGGGTACCTCAATTCTCATGCCCCGTCCCACGCTATTACGGGTCGACCCACTCTTACATGTTGTTAAAAAAAATACAAGTAAATTTTACTTTTTACAATAAAACGTAGGGAACAACACTTTAAGAATGAAAAATATTAATAATAGAATGGATAATTGAGCCTGACAAGTTGAAAGATCGACTCTAACTAGTTGAAGAAAAGTTAAAATAGGAGAAATATGTATAGATACTGTAAGAAATTGAGATAAATGAGTCTAGAACGGGGCGGGTCGGAAGTAGATACTCGTGCCCCGCCCCACGCTACTGCGGGTCGGGTAATACCCGCCCCATCGCGGGTCAGGTCGGGTAATACCCGCGGGGCGGGTTGAAATTGCCATCACTAGTTCCAGCTAGGTGTGGATGTTCGGGTTTGGTGTTCCGGGTAAACCAAAACTGAAATTTCCGGGTATCGAGGGACCGAGAAACGAAGAATCATTGGCAGAAGCGGGTCTCGGCTGCTAGTTTGGTTATTTTCGGGTTTCGGTGAAACCAAGCACCGCAACCGAAATCGAGAACCGAGGTGAAACCAAGCACCGCCCCCTAGCCAATACTTCACTCTACTAGTCACCAAGGTGATAGGAGTCAACACCAAGGAGGCGACAAGGGGTCCCTAAGGCGGTTGGAGTAACGGGCTGGCTAGCTATTACCATGGCGGTTACCAAGGCAGTTACACCTAGTGGCTATAAATAGGAGAAACGAAGAAGGAGCAAAGGTTCCACAACTAAAGATTGGACAGTTTATGTCAAACTTTTATCTTTTCTCTACAAATTAGCCATAGCCTTTAATTTTTGGAGCTCTCATTGAACCTTCATAACAGTAGGAGTAATTAACGTAGCTTGTTCCCAAAAACCCATCAAAACTTCAAATACCCTCGTTCGAAGAGGTGTGAACCATTGTAGTTTCGTTGTTCAAGAAGTTAAAGATGCAAATCATTAAGGGATTTTTCCAGAAATAGCACTTTTAAAAAAAAAAATTCCAAAAATAGCACCCAACTCCGAAAAATTCCAAAAATAGCACCCTTTCTGAAAAACCGCTCCCTACCAGTGCGGTTTAAGCGAAAACCGCCACCCAGGGGCGCGTTTTTCGATGAAAACCGCACCCCCAGGGTGCGATCTGCTTTTTTTTTTTTTTTTTTGAAAAATCCTAACCTAGGTGGAAACTTCAAACGGACGTATCTTTGTGTTCGGGTATCCGATCGTCGCGAATTTTTTTTTGATTCCGCATAAATTTTTGAGATCTTGCAAGCCGAAGGTGGTTTGATACTGCCTTCGTCCTAAAAAATGTCGTTTGCTACCCCGAACGAGCTTTTTTCCGATTTCGTCAAACTTTGGACAACCATAACTTTGTGCTCCAAAATCCAAACAACATGAATTTTTTTTTTATTTCGCATAACTTTTTAAGGACTACAATTTTTACTAGAATGAATTTTCAAAACAGGAATTATTTTTGGATATACAAGATTTTGGGAATAGCTTACCTTCCCTTCTCAGCAATCCACGTATATTTTGAAATTGTGTCTATGATAAAAATTGTAGTCCTTAAAAAGTTATGCGAAATAAAAAAAAAATTCATGTTGTTTGGATTTTGGAGCACAAAGTTATGGTTGTCCAAAGTTTGACGAAATCGGAAAAAAGCTCGTTCGGGGTAGCAAACGACATTTTTTGGGATGAAGGCGGGACCAAACCACCTTTGGCTTGCAAGATCTCAAAAATTTATGCGGAATCAAAAAAAAATTTGCGACGATTGGATACTCGAACACAAAGATACGTCCGTTTGAAGTTTCCACCTAGGTTAGGATTTTTCAAAAAAAAAAAAAAAAAGCAGATCGCACCCTGGGGGTGCGATCTGCAACCAAATCGCATGGTGGGGGTGCGGTCTGCAAAACCGCCCCCTGGGGGTGCGGTTTTCATCGAAAAACGCGCCCCTGGATGGCGGTTTTCGCCTAAACCGCACTGGTAGGGAGCGGTTTTTGGAAAAGGGTGCTATTTTTGGAATTTTTCGGACTTAGGTGCTATTTTAGGAATTGTTTTTTTAAACAGTGCTATTTCTGGAAAAATCCCAATCATTAATATCAAACACTAGATTTTCCTCAACAAAAAATAGAAAGAAATCATAAATGAATAAATGTAAGTTATAGGAGGAGAGAAATGAGAAACTAGAAGTAATTGGATGATCATGTTCAGTTGCATAAGAAGAGATGAAAGGGCTATTGTGATTTGGTTTATTCGACCCTCTGTTTATCAAGGAGGCAAAAATAGAGGATTTTGCTAAGAAGAGGAAGATGAGAGAAAACATGATGATGTAAATTGAGTCGGAAAATTTCAATTTTATAACTGTCGTTATGTTTAGGGACAAAAAATATAATGATACAATCAAAAGTCTACTGGTGTGGTTTAGATGCAAACATAATTTTTTTTTACTAATTAGTATGCAACCACGTTAAACTTCGACTAATTAGTAATTACTATCCGGTGCAATGAACCCGTGCCTATGCGATATTGAGATCTAGAAGCCCTGCCCAGGCCCAGCCATTATACGCAGCACTGGGCCAAAATCATAGACCAATAACTGGGACACCCTTATTTGGGCCTAATTTTTCATTTCCATGAACTCATCGAGCTATTGGGCTTTAATCTCAATTTCTTCGCAGTTCTTTTTCTTCTTCTTGACCATGTTTCTTGAATCTTGAAAGAAAAAAAAGGAGCCGCGCAAAGACGAAAGAACATAACTCCTGCAACAAGTAAAACCAACCAATTTGTTACGTAAGGAGCACAGAAATCAACATTCTCTAGTACTCGTTGTAACCCAATTACAGAAGAAGAAGAGAACCCCCACCAACCATTATAAGCAGAGAGGAAGAAGCCGGAATCCGTCTCTTGCGTGGGTACTAATTTCCGCCCATCTGTCCAAGTACACCTCGGACCTCCGTTCGCCGGACAATGGCCGGTTCCGAGTCTCAATACGCACCGGCGTCCACTCCAAAAGAGCCCCTCTTGAAGCGTCTTAAAGGCATTTGGCGCTTCTCCATGATCGTCAACTTGGCTGTGGGAGGTCGGTCAGCTTTCACTGCTTCCTCTCTCTCTCTCTCTTTTTTTTTTTGTTTCCCCTTTCATTCAAATCCCTCTTCCTGCTCCTTCTTCCCTCTCGAATGTCTTGCTTTGCTGGTGCACGTATGCATGTCTGATCCTTGACTTCTTCAAATTAGTGATTAAACTGATTGGTGGTGAAAGAAAATTAAGGATCTTGGGTTGTGGGTTTCCCTGATTTCATTTTGCCCACAATGTGTTCGATGTATTGTCTCTCTGACGCTTTTGGTTAAAACCAGTTGGCGTTCGGGCAGTTGTTGATAAAGCCGCGGTGCCATTTGTCTTCATATCTTATGGGTGCATTACAGTTTCTGGCCTCTGTGTCCATTCCTGATGCTTCGTTCCGATTGTTGCTGTCCGTTTTTTTTTTTTTGGCATTTCTGTAGCTCGCGGAGGAGCTAGTTGTGCCCAGTTGTTCCATGCTTTTCTATCTACATGTCGCTGGACGTTTGGGCCAAAACTGCGGTGTTTTGTTATGATTTGCTTCCATGCTTCCTCCACTGAGGATAGGATAGGATATTCTTCTGAACCAATGCCTGCTTGATGATATCCGAAAGGGTTCTAACAAGCTGGTTTTTTCTCCAACGGGTTGCATGCAGCTTACATCTTCGCTCATGCTGGCAAGAAAAACGGGGGGAAACATGTGGAGAATGTCGAGAAAGCAAAGCCCGAGTCTTTGCTGGAAGAATACTCTGATCCTTACGACTCCATAGTCGAGAAATTAACTCCTCTCCATAGGGAGCCAATATCTGAAGATCAGCAGCGTGAGCTCTTCAAGTGGATGTTGGAAGAGAAGCGGCAAATGAAGCCTAGCGATCGTGGAGAGAAGAAAAGGGTTAATGAAGAGAAGGCCATTCTCAAAAAATTTATCGGCGCCAAGACAATTCCGAGGATTTAATTCAGAAGTGTCTGTTCTGACTTTCAACAGGATGCCACTTTTACTACGAGGCATTGATTTGTTGAACACGAATCATTCTAACTCGATTTCAATCCAGCCATGTGTCTTTTAAACTTCATTGCCCAACTGCCACACATGAACGTATTGATTGAAGTTCCATTGGTTGTTGTAAATTCTCTGTCGTGTTCATGTTTATCTACCATGTGGAAAGTGGGAATATACCTGTTTGGCGAGTATGAACTTTTACCATTGCAGTGTCATATCCAGAGCTCAAGTTGGTGGCAGTATCTCTCTTGTCCACCATTAAGAAGCTGGGGTAGTTTCCTCAAAGGAGATTGGGAGTTTTGAGCTGATGGAGGGAATTTTTCATAGATGGGACATTTTCTCTAACAGTTGGAAGGCACGAACGAACGTGGTCACTAGAACATATGGATAAGCCAAAAATGGACCACAAATTCCAGAGAGCTAAAGGCAAACGGCATAGATACAAGTTTTTAGGCACATAATTTCTTCTTTTTAGTTTTAACCCTCTATTCGTTTGGCCTTTAATGTGTATCCAGGGAATTGCCTAACGGTTGAAATCAAATAATGGAGGCAGAAGAAGTGAGACAAAACCAAAAGATTTGGGCTTTGGTTTTCCCTTTCTGAAAGGTTAACTAACTTGAAGCACAGCCACACCCTCAAAATGTTCCATCCAGTGCAGTGGTTGGTTTGAATCTTTTTCCAGAATCGATTCCCATCGCTTCTGAATTCTTCTGCACAAGCACAGGGCTAGAGTTCGAAGGTCTCCAAAATAATGCCAGGATCCATCCAAGTTTCAGGTACTATCTAACACTAATTTCCTGCCTGAAAGCTCACAGAACTTTGGCAATTAACTTGTTCTTCTGAAATTGTTATGAACTGCAGTTCTAGAGTTCATAGGTCTGCAATCCTTGATTCCTTCCAATCAAATATACGTCAAAGGTGCAAACTTTAGTTCTCTTCTTTCATCTTGTTCAACATTTCAATGTTTAATCAGAGAAGTGGTGTAATGGGTCTTTCTGCTATAATGCAGTTTCCCTGGGGAAAAGGGAATACCGAACTTTGAACAAAGGCGACTTCTCTTTGTATTCTTCGGAAACCCCATCTCGAGTTTCTTTCTCCACTTTTGAGTAAATTCTTTTTGCTATTGTGATGGAGCTTTTTCCCCCATACAGCCCATTGACAACTCTCCGGGAAAATGTCATTGTCACACTTCAGGACTCTGATGGAAATGAAATCTCCCATACAGGTTTGGCAGTTTGAATGGTCTTATTTCCAGTTGGTTACATTAGCTGTAGCTAGAGCACTTGATTTCTACCAATTTGTGAGGCTTAATACAGTTTGATTTGCTCTGGAATTCTTGAGTGAAAAAAGGCGTGGAGACGAGGTTGCTGATTCAGAAAGGCACCTGGGATGACATGTTCCCTCTAGATGGTGGTGGGCATATCCACTTGAAGCTTCGGTTTGTCCTCACCGAAGAAGATCGTGAAAGAATCAGAGTCATGGTACTAACGTTTATATACTTGCAGAGCTAAACTGGGAAAGCGCAAATGATGCTTTTCATGGTACCATTGTTAATGTTTATACTTTGTTGACAGAGAGAAACTGCATTGAGAAAGAAACATGATGAACTTGTTAGCAGCGGAAGCAGAAGTGTGGTGAAGTATGACAAAGGAGCGGTTTCTGCGCAGAAGAATCCAAGCCCAGTTAAGGATTTAGTAGAATGCAAAAAATTTAACTGTTCTTTTCGTGGTGAAGGCAGGAATGAAAGCTAGCCTTGATTATTATTCTAATGATATTCCACCTGTTTTAGAATGAAACAGACAGATGCAAGGACACTGCTTCATCCGCCCATGTAAAGGAAGTGAAAAAGGAGAGATCAGTCGTCTTCTCAACTGAAGGATCCATTGGAACAACCATTTCAACGAGGCAAAATCCTACGAAGAAAGTTCATGGTAGTGTGAAGAACATGATTAGTGCCTTTGAAAGTAGTGCGCATCAGGTAGTTTTGTTCAAGTGCTATTGAGGTCAATTCTTGCAAGCTACGGTTAGTAAACAGCTCTCTCCTTAACGTAAGTTATTTGTTGAATCAGGATATGAGGACTAAAGTAAGACAACAAATGACAAAATCACAGTCAGTCAACAACTTAGTTGTTGTTCCTTCCTCTGAATCCAAGTTGCAGAAAGTTAGATCAACAGAGTCACTTTCAGAAAAGCTTGGCAGTACTTTAAGTCAGCACAATGGAGCAGGTGAGATACACATGATGGAAGAGAAAACAGTTTCTGAAGATTTGGCAAAAAGAACAAGTACAAGTTATTTGTTGAATCAGGACACGAGTAGTAAAGTAAGACCAAGCATGTCAAAGTTTCAGCCAAGCGACAGCCTAGTTGACGTTCCTTCATCGGAGGGCTCAACTTTGGGATCCAAGACACAGAAGGTTCGGTCAATTGCTAATGAGATCCTTGTCAATGAACAGAAGAAAGATTCTGAAGATTTGGTTAGATGGGAAACTGCATGTGAGAGGGCTTCTTTCTCAGGGGCCATCCATGATCACCACAGTGACTCATCATTAGCTATGAAAAAGCATTCCGGTAGTCCTATGGTCACTAGAAAGAGTGACAGCACAACTTACAGAAGAGGGTCACTGGAAACTTTGTGTGATGAAGTTTTGGGAGATGATCGTCGTTCCACTGAATGTTCCGGTGCATGGATATTTCCTGATCAAGGTAGACGCTTGTGTGTTTCAACTGCTGGCAAACAGGTGCTTAATGTAATTGGTGGCTTCTGGTCTGAACTCGAAAGCACATTATGTCCAGGAAACATTATCAGTCCTGTAGTGGAAAGCCAAATAGAGGTATGTGTATATTCTCAAGTATATTGCTTATTAGTCTCCTCGTTACTATATGCAACTTAGCACAGAAGGTATTTGCTTACTTAAATACCCAACTCCCAGCATTTTGTTCACGGTGACACTGGAATTCCTCCCAAAGAGAATGGAGATCTCGGGAGAGAATCAACTACCAAGGAAGGTTCAAGAGATGCCGAAACTCCAAGAGGACCCCTTGGACAGGTCTCATCTGCTCCCATTTTGATAGAACAAAAGGCGCCATTCTTTTGTCCATTTCCTTGTATTTGGAAATTCATGAACGTTGCAACATTATGCAGGTGATGAGAGTTGCAATCATGGTTGGGTTCACAGCACTTGTTGTGTTTACTAGACAGAGAAAGCCAGGTACTGCTATTTTTCCATCCTTTTGCCAAGCTTATCCAAAGAACTGAGATCATCATGTCCATTGCGAGATTCCTCCTCGATCTTGTTCCGGAAGTGACAAAGTTGGCTTGATTTTGGTTTATGCTAAAGAGATGAAAGCATGGATTGGCAACTTGTAGGAGACGGTTTTTAGTTTCATGATCCATTCTTCTTGAAATGATTTGCCTGCCTGAATTTTGCCTAATACGTTTGGTCATTTGGGTGGATGGTTGCTGCAGATAGATGAGATGCAGCAAATGGTGGTGATAGGAAGGCCATGGAGCTCTTTCGTATTCCAGCACCAATGCTGCCACAGTTTTCTCTACTCGTGAATGGAAACGCAATAATCATTTTCTTCTCATTTCTAACTGCGGATTATATGATGAGGAGCGGAGACATCCTTGACTATTTTTGGTTTATTGATGCCTTAGAACTTAACAGTCGTTTGTATTTTGCCACAGATATGTAACATCTTCAAGTTCATGGTACTCTTGTTGAAAAAAATACTTTACAACTATTCTCCCTGGGCACGTTATGGAGGAAAACACGAATAAAATTCTTTTCTTTTCTTCTTCGTCTATCCTCCTGCTCACTTTACATAAACCCGTATTTTCCATTATCGTAATTTAAAAATCGGTTTTGTCTAGCTCGTCGTACGTTCCACATCTCTTTTCTCTAATTTAATTCCATCTCAAACTAAATTAGTGTTTCTAAATTTTACCTCTGAAAAATAAAAAAATTCGTGCTAATATTGATGTTATGAAGTGGATCAAAACAATATTAACACTAGGACTCCAAAATGTCCATGAAACTGTATCGTACCGGCGGTTCAACCACGAAATACCAGTATCGAAGACTAAATCGGTAGGCGGTATTTAACGATCTAACGGTTGAACTACGGTTAAACCACGGTTTTACCATAAAATAGCCTACTGATGACTTTCCCGATACGATATCCGGTACGGTTTCATAGACTATGCCAAAATCTCACTATATCCACCCTCAGATATAACTGTAGGTATTGTAAAGTCAACTCCAATTCAACCTGTGGAATATTTTCCCAAAAAAAAAAAAAAGTAAAAAGTGACCAAATTGTAAATTTCTAGAGGAAATTTTTTTCGAACGCCTCGAGTTTCCGCCCTAGTCCTAAACCCCCAACTCTACTTCCCCGCTTTTCTTCTTCCTCCGGCCCTGGTTGCTGCTGCTTCTGAGATCACTCATGGCGTCTTCCGCTCTCGCTCCTCCTACTCCTCCTCGCTCAGGTAAAAACTCCACTATCCTTCGTCTTCCCAATCAATTCCGTCTTCTGAACTTTCTGTATTTCGCTCCCGGTGCCCACTGGATTCGTAACTCCAAAATGAAAACTTGAAGCTTGTCTGTGACGAACGTATAAGATTGAACCCCAACTTATGGCCCGTTCAACTATTATTTTGTTCTGGCAGCTCATTAGTTAATGCCTCTCAGTTCTGCAGTTCCGTCTTCGTTAGTGATGTTTCCTTACTGCTAGACATTGCCCGGCTCCATTGTATATCAAGAAATTATGTGCTAGATTTGGTTTCATCTCCCCACGGATTCCAGTGCTCGAATTGAGCTTGGGGTTTCTCATTGTGCATTTTTTGATGCTGTAATGGTTTTCTTTTTTTACGCTGCTCGGAAAGCGGGGTCGTCCCATTTGTTTTGTTCTATAAGTCACTGTTTGATATCGTTCCTACCAGGGAGTTGTGGTGAAGATCATCAGAGCATGCTGAGTAGTGCCGCTTTTGGGACTTCCTGTGGAGCGGGTTTTGATGTCCCAACTACCCATTTAGAAACGCAATACAAGAAAAGAAGAATATCCATTGACAGGGGCTTGAGAGAGGCAGAAGCTTCGTTGCCCATTTTAACCGCATCAGACTATTACATTGAGCCTTGCTTGGCTGATTTGGCCGCCAGGGAAGTTGCAGATCCTGGTTATTGCGGTCGAGTACCAAATTTCACGGTTGGGAGGTTTGGTTATGGTTGTGTCAAGTTTCTGGGAAAGACTGATGTTAGGTTGTTGGAAGTTGATCACATTGTAAAGTTGTACAGGCATGAAATTGTTGTATATGGGGATGATAGTGTCAAGCCTGCAGTTGGTCTGGGGCTCAACAAGCCTGCTGAAGTAACTCTGAATTTGAAGATAAGACCTTTAAACCCAAATAAAGAGCAGCTCCTAGATCTTGTGGAGAAATTGAGAAAGAGCATGGAGAGGCAAGGAGCTCGCTTTATTTCGTTTGACCCCAAGAGTGGTGACTGGAGGTTTTCAGTCCAACATTTTAGTCGTTTTGGATTGACTGAAGATGATGAAGAAGACATCACAATGGATGATGTTGAGGAAGTTCACGATCCTTCCAGGATGAATAATGATGCAGAGATTCTGGAGGAGACTGGGGAAGCCGAAGAAGAAATTGAACCTATGCTTTATCATTCTCTTCCAGCACATCTTGGCCTTGACCCTAGAAAGATGAAAGAGATGAAGATGTTAATGTTTCCATCTGAGGATGAGGATGGGGTAGAAGATTTGAATGATCTCTCTTATCCCAAGTCGTCCAGAAGTAAAGAACACATGAAGCGTTCGTTGCTGAATGCCTCACAGAGGACAAGTCACAGATCTAGTCCGCCTGCAGTTAGGAAAACTCCATTGGCTTTGCTCGAGTACAATCCCACTGGTGTTGACTCTACTTCTCCTGGAAATATATTGATGGCCCAACAAAAGATAGCATTGCCTTTAAAACCAATTAGAGGTGAAGGCTTCAAGATCAACCTGGACCGCCAGACACCTGTAACTGGAAGCCATTCTCGCAACATAGTTGACGCTGGTTTATTCATGGGCAAATCATTCCGTGTCGGATGGGGCCCAAATGGTGTTCTTCTTCATTCTGGTGCTCCTGTAAGTAGTAAGAGCTCTGAAAGATGGTTATCATCTGTCATAAATGTCGAGAAAGTTAGCATTGACAAAGTGGTTAGGGATGAAAATGATAAAACCAGAAAAGAACTTGTTGACTGTGCTTTTGATGCCCCTTTGAATCTCCACAAATCGTTAAATCATGATATAAAACAAGTTCATGTAGGGTCATTTACACTGAAACTTCAGAAGGTGATTACTAATCGGCTGGCTCTTGCTGAAATTTGTCGGAGTTATATAGATATAATTGAGGGACAGCTGGAGGTTCCCGGATTATCTTCATCCTCACGTCTGGTTTTGATGCACCAAGTCCTGATCTGGGAATTGGTGAAAGTTCTTTTCTCTGAAAGGGAAAATGGTGGGCGACCTAATTCTTTAGGTGCTGACAATGAGGAAGACATGATGCCAGATGTTAAAGAAGGGTCTCCAGAAATTGACGAGGAAGCACTTCCTCTTATTAGGAGAGCAGAGTTCAGTTGTTGGTTGCAAGAAAGTGTATGTCATCGTGTTCAAGAGGATGTGAGCTCCTTGGACGAATCAAGTTATCTAGAACACATCTTCATACTCCTTACTGGGAGACAGCTTGATGCAGCAGTCGAAATGGCTGTTTCCAGAGGAGATGTCAGATTGGCGTGTTTGCTTAGTCAGGCTGGTGGATCAACTGTTAATCGTACTGATGTTGCACGACAACTTGATATTTGGAGGACCAATGGACTAGATTTCAATTTTGTTGAGAAGGAGAGGACAAGGATCTATGAGTTGCTTTCTGGTAATATTCACAATGCTTTGCAGGGTGTTCAAATTGACTGGAAAAGATTCTTAGGGTTGCTGATGTGGTATTGCCTATCGCCTGACACACCATTGCCTGCTATTTTCAAAAATTATGAACTCCTCCTTGGTGAAGGTAAAGCTCCATATCCCCTTCCAATTTATCTAGACGAAGGACCGGTTAATGAGGAAATGGAGGCTACAAAAAAGAATTTTGATCTCACATACTATCTCATGCTTCTTCATGCCAATGCGGAGGGTAAATTTGGCTCTCTGAAGACCATGTTCAGTACTTCTTCATCAACATATGATCCACTAGACTACCATATGATTTGGCATCAAAAAGCAGTGCTGGAAGCAGTTGGTGTCTTTACTTCTAATGATCTTCAAGTGCTTGACATGGGAATTGTTTCCCAGTTATTATGCACTGGACAGTGTCATTGGGCGATCTATGTGGTGCTTCACATGCCACAATGTGATGATTATCTTTATCTCCATGCTACTGTAATTCGGGAAATATTGTTTCAGTATTGTGAAACTTGGAGTTCAAACGAATCACAATACCAATTCATTCAGAACCTTGAAATTCCATCAGAGTGGCTTCATGAAGCTATGGTATAGTTTATTCCTCCCTGATGTTTCTCTCCTCGCCTTAAGCATGCATATAAAAACAATTGAAAATTTAAATTGTGTGTGTTGATGCACACACGCATGCATATGGAAACTCTTGATTAGCAAGCCTAATATTCTCCAGATAAAGCTTTAATCAAACTCAGACTAGAAGAACTATGGTAGTCTTGTAAAGTTGTTGTCAGGTTAATTGTGTTGACGGTTCTAACCCTCTTATAGGGAATCGAGTGTTTCCTTGTCTGTTATAGTCATATGTCTTTGTTTATGATTACATGTGGCCTTATCAATTAATATTCAACCTAGAACAGTTGCAGGTGCTCCTGGCTTCCTACAAGTTTGTCTGTCCATGGATGATTAGATGTTACAGTTTCAGATTATAGGTGGAACAACACAGTGTTACTATATGTCCATGAAACTGAATCCGGATGCAGAGTAATTACCTGAAAAGCTCCATGCATCCGGCTCTAGCTTATTTTGTCCGAGTTTCATCTTGGTTAAATGTTGAGAAAAGCATTAAATACTGCTGTTATAGTCTTGCTGCTGTTGAACAAATGAAAATAATCTTCAAGTGCATTTAATAAAGTTAGCATTTAATATACTCTTTTAAGTTCAAAATTTGCTGGGTGGTGAATCTGACATTTAATGTATTTCTTTTGTAATGCAGGCAGTATATTTTAATTACCAAGGGGATCTATCAAAGGCTCTTGAGCACTTCCTTGAATGTGCACACTGGCAGAAGGCTCATTCTATTTTTACATCTTCAGTCGCTCATACACTGTTTTTGTCTGGTAATATATGCATCCAGGAGTTGCGTACTGCGTGCTCCATTGTACTTGTGTATATGAACTTGTGGCATGAGTAATTTTAGGATACGCGAACATTTAACACAAAATTGGTTTCTGGGTTTTGGTAATCTTTCTAGTGAGCTAGTTTGACTGTTGCTTATGAGGGTTGTTGTTTTATTTATAATATAGGCGAGCATTCAGAAGTTTGGAGGCTTGCTACTCAAATGGAGGAACACAAATCTGAAATTGAAAACTGGGACTTGGGAGCTGGAATCTATATTTCCTTCTTGCAGCTTAAAAGTTCATTCCGAGAGGACAACGATACTATGAACGAACAGGTATCAATGTTTGCAATTGATATCCATGATTCAGATTGTTTTTCCTCGGATGCAAGCAATTTTGTTGACTGAATTGGCCTGCTGAGGCCATTCCATTGAAAAGACAATAGACATGGCAAAGATCCTAGGCAAAACTCAGTTGTGTTTTCAGTTACAGTCTTAAACTGCTGAACCTTCAGATCCAGTCAAAATTCGTTCACTAAACAATATACTATATAGAGGAGTTCTATACTTTAAATCATACCTTAACAGTATGCATATGCCAACTGAAGCCTTGCCTGGGTGCTAATTTTTGCAGGATTCTCTTGAGAGCAGGAATTCTGAATGCAGAGGCTTCCTTAGTCAGCTTAATGAATCTTTAGAGACTTTGGGTGATAGATTGCCAACCGATGCTAGGTATAACTTCATTTTCAACATTCCAATCCATAATTTATCAGCCTTTTAAAGGATCACTCTGCTGTGGATGCTTGACACCTATTTGACTCAATATGCACGATATGCAATGTGCGTTTACTTCTAAGATCATCATCCCGTGAATGACCATTGAGACGTTGGAGATTGACAAAATGTGCATGCTGTCAATCATATTAGTGGAAACCAAAAACTCTTAATCTGAAAAGTAGTGTCTTAAATTGCATGTGCCGCAATTTAGCAGTAAACTTTGGCCGGTCTGAGATCGGAGCGGAGGGGTTCATCTTGTATTTTGTATGGATTCCTGGTTGTTATTCATTACGGGTATGGATGTGGGTGCAGGATTGCGTACTCAAAGATGGCTGAGGAAATATCTGAGTTGCTGCTATCAATAAGTAGTTGGGGAGAATCACGGGATGCCCAGTTGAGCTGCTTTGAGACTGTTCTTACAGCTCCCGTCCCTGAAGATCTTTGCTCGAACCATCTGCAAGATGCCGTCTCGCTCTTTACGTGTTATCTCTCGGAGATGGCCACTCAGCCCATCTAGGCTCCAAGCTTTGAGATTCTAGCATCTCACCAGGTTTCCTTCGCATGTGTGCCAGGAGTTGGGACTTCACTATATGATCTTCATTCCTTGATTAGCAAGTTTGCAGCTTTTTTCTTGAATGAGCAAGCTCATGTTGTCGTTAATCGTTATCAAATTATTAACATTCAAACCTTGTTTGATTGTGAAAGAAGAGGAAATGTTACTTGACAGGAGGCTACGAAAATAGGAACGAAATTTTGTGAACAAGAGAAAGCTGAACATCAAAATTGGATTAGATATAGTAGACAACATATATTTGGCACACGACAGTACATTGCTATGCAGCTTTCTTGATTCTCGACACTCTCAGTAAGGCGAATCAAAGTAAGATGCGTATAGCACTACATTCAGAACTAAAGAATTTCTACTGCCGCCAAAAAGGGCCTTGAATCACTCCCTAAGTAGCAACCGGCTTTCCGTTTAATTTGGGAAAAGGATCTTGCTTGCTCAGCACTACAACCTTGCTCTTGTGGGCAAAGTAACCTTTCATAAGGTTCTTGTATATCAAAATTGCCACTATGCACTCCACCTACAAATAGGTACAGAACAAAACACTTAAGTTAGCGAGCATAACATAACTCTAGAGAAGGGATGAACGCAACTGGAGAAGTGGAATTTGATAAGACCATATACGTCTTTAAGTACCTCGTCCACGTCCATTTCAATCTCGAGCCATTTTAATGCTTTAACAATCACTTCCAACTTCATTTGGTGAGCTTTGCTGGGGTCCTTTAGCTTTTGGATGATGTAGCTATGGAGATTATGCTGGGTCAGTACCGTGAAAGCATCTGCTTCGGCTTATCATCACCATGGTGTATAAAGGGGACAAAACAAAGGGACTTACATTTTCTTTAGTAATCTTTGATAAACTTGAAGCTCTAGCTTCTCTAGGACAAGATAAACTCCTGATCGTAGAAACCTACAAAGAGAACGAAGCAGAAGCTAGATTAGCTTTAACTGCAAATACAGGCTTCCAAAAATTTGAACTTTTACACAAGGCTGCGAAAAGACCAACATACTGATCTTCATTCTCTTGGAGAGCACTTCGAAGCAGTCGGAGATCACCTCTCTTTAGGGCTTCCACAATATTGTTGTACTGTCACGGGGAACACCGCGGTATTAGAACATTCCAATTGAAGAAGAAAAACGCTTCAACCTGGATACAACCAAATTCTTGAAATGCTATGCCTCGCTTTAAAAAAATCTCAAGTTCTTGAATAATCTAATCCATTTCCTAGGTATCAAGGAAAGGGCTAGTAAACCAAGTTATGGAACGAGAAAGGAGTTGTACCTCAACTAAGTTATAGTTTTCAAGGAGCTGTTTCTTTGGTAAAATGCCTATTGAAAGCTTCACTGGTATCAAGTATTTCAGTATCATTCTGACACGCACACAAAAAGATATCAGGAAAATTATAAGAGGAACCACAATAACCAAGTACAGTACAGACAGCCAACAAACTGTTGACGCTTGAAGTGCTAAAATATCATTGGATTCATAACAAAGCAGCAAGTGCAACAAACCAAACCTTATATTTGCTTCTTTGTTGAGACTGCAATGTGTTAAGGCATAGGACAGCTTTTGATCTGCCTGCAGGGTCAAGATAATCACAATTTGAAATGAATCAATGTGTTTCTCAGCTTCTAGATGGCTAACTAATAGCATCTAATCTATATTCTAAAGTCCTGATTTGTTGACATCACATGGAGAGCACAACTAATTGCAATAACCATTACACTCTGAAACCATAAATGCGTTAGACAATATTTTGATTACGGATTTAAGATCTAAATTACAATTTAAGAGCTAAAGTCTGTATCTGATTGCACATCTCGAAAGTGAAAAGCTCCTAATAGAGATAAAACTTGGCAGATGTTCAAGGTGCTCACAGCTGGGAAATTTTCATTGAGAACTTCCAGACGGCCAGTGTAGTACATGTAAGTGACCTGTCATTGAGAAGGCAAGACTTCAGGCAAATAGTGCACAAAACCTTCCGGAGAAGCCTAGGAACTCAAACACAACAATCATAGAACCAGGTTTCTCACCTTATCCCTCGTCGGGAATTCCTCAAAATCAAATATTCGGGCAGTTTCAATACTTCTTATCACACTACGACAAAGATGAACTGTGCCAAGCTGCAAACCAGTAACTGTTAGAATTCCGGCATTTCCTACAACTTTATGTTCAAGAACTCCCAAATGAAAGAAAGACCAAAGGAAAAACTTAAATGCTGCAAACATCTACACTAAACAAGAGACCAATAAGCTATTACCTTAAAGTATATTTTGAACAACTGACAAGTTACATACAGTGCTCCTACACGCTTCGGGCCTTTCCCCTATAGATCACATGATCCATTAAATTAGTAACAACCAATAAAACAATTTCTTCACCATAAGACTGTAATTCTGATCCCTTATATCATCTGAAAGCTGCAGAGCAGGGTGGTGGAAAGGGAGAAGCATACAGCAAGAACACCGAACACTTTCATGAGGAATGACCCCGCTCCCTTCAATTTCTCCGGCGATTTTCCATTTGAAGCCAGCTCTCTATCTACCTACAAATATCAATAAATTTTCACTCTTTCACTTCACTTGATGAATAACAAGCACAGGATACCGAATGATTAAGTTCTGAAAACTCAAATTCATCATACCCTCTCCGCAAGAACCCTTATCTCATAAGCAATGACATACAGTGCCTCCAACGCCCAACCCGATTCCCAGTTCCGGAACTCCTGTATAAAGGCACTGAATCCACACCATCAGCAAAGAAGTATGAAACATCGAACTGAAAGTAAGAAAAAGGGAAAAGCAAAAGGAAGAAGGATTGAAAGAGAAGTCACAAACTTGGAAGCTTTCTCAAATGCTCTGTAAGCATCAACCAAGTTGCCAAGTCGATAGCTTTGCAGTGAACGAAAGAAAGGAGCAACTACTTCCCCAAATTGCGAGAATTTCTCCGATTGCTTTATCAGTCTATTAGCATCCTAATTGCGATGAATTCAACAGAAAGAAAACCCCAATTCACAATTCGGAAACCCCATATTATTAAGAGAGGAAGCAAAACCTTTTCCCCGTTGTGTTCAAACCTGGAAGACGTTGAGAGCGTCAGCGAGCGAGAGGAGAGAGGGGGTGTCGGATGAGACAGAGAACAGCCGAGCCAGAGAATCACCGTCCTGGTAGTTGATAGCGTCGACGAACCTATTGAGGTAGTCGGTGATTCTTCTGTGTGATTCTCCCATGCTCAAGTACGCCATTTTCCCTTGCTTGCTTCCTTCCTTCTTTGCTTTCCCGTCAGCAACAGTCGCAGAAGGCGGTCTTGAGTTGCTACTTTCTCCGCTCAAGTTTCTGATTTGGGGTTGTTGCCGATGGGCTTTTGCTTTTCTGTATTGTATTGGCCCGGTCCTGATTAGTGAGCCGAGCAGAGTCCAGCCGAGTTTTACCTCAGTTTGAACTCGGCTTGTTAATGAATGAGCGGAGTTTGAGCTTGGATTATTTATTAACGAGCTAAGTCGAATCGAGTTTTACCTCAGTTTGATATATTCATTTTGTATGTAATGTATGATACATGTGACTATGTCAAGATGAAAATAAAAATAATAGTTAAGTGTTTAATATTAACTAATCTCATATTATAATTTGTGGTATCATATTATTTAGTAAATTCGAACTAGTCAAAATTATGCTATTTTATAGTATCGAAGCAATCTATGTTACATAATTTCTTTATAAGATTAAGTAAGACATATTTGCTCACATAATTTACATGTTAAACTTCATATAGGTGAGATATATAATTTAACAATCTTATGAATGACAATGGGGCAGGTCCGGGACGGGTATCATGATACCCATACCCGGCCCCTGACAGGTCGGGTAATTTATCATAGGTCACGAGTCGGGACAGGTCGATCCAATGGGTATGCAATTCATATGACAAACGTTAGAAATATTCGTTAATTTCATTATAAGACCGAGAAAACAAACCGTATTATGATAAATGTAGTTAAATTATTGGAGAAATTGAGATTTTCAAGTTTGTAATGGCTAAAATATGATGTAATAAAAGGAAAATCCTAAGTAATTTTACTAACATCACACGTAATTAGGCAAGAACGGATCGAGAATGGGGCGGGTCAGGGCAAGTCAGGTTGATGAGAGTACTCATGCCCGCCCCGCCCCAAAACAGGCCAAACAAGTCGGGTAAAACGGATCAGGTCGAAATTGTCATCCCTAAACAATCCTATAAATTATCAAAATCAAACTCATATAGATCGATTCGCTAATAAGTCGGTAATCGAGTTGGCTCTCTAGCCACAATGTTGAGAGTTGAGACATTTCATGAGCTATAAATGAGCTAGCTTACAAGTTAAGCTCAACAAGACACCGAGCCAAGCTAGCTTGCGAGCTCTGCAAGCTGCAGAAAGCTTAGCTCAAACTCGGCTCGTTAGTAAACGAGTCAAGTATCGAATGAGTTTTCCTCGAGTCGAACGTCGAGCAGCTCGACTCATTTGCAGCCCTAATCTTGACCCGACTATGGCTCTCCTATCCATATTAGTTTTTTTTTTCTTTTTTGTCATAGGTATCACCGCAGGGAAATAGCATGGAGACAACAATATCCAAGACCTTTACAAGTCAATCCACTTCGACAAGTGTACGACCAACTCAACAAAGGCATTTTCTACCACAGAATTGGTATCCCTGTTATACTTTCACGGAGCTAAATGAAACGTTGCACGCTGAAATGACGTTCGCGACACTTGAATTTTCTACAGGATAGTTTTACCCATCGCGTGCGACCAGTCTCTCGCACATCACCACAAAACAAAATATTAGTGTAGGAATGCGACTACTACCAACTAATACAATCCCAAAGAGGCATGAGCTCCAAAAAGAAAAGAATATCGAAACCATATATCCACAATCAAATCCCCTACGACAAGCCTAATCACATAGAAGACAAAAGCACATGGCCGTTTGAACGCGATTTAGAATGGTCATACAAAATGATTAGGACTTTGCTATGGTGACTTGCAAGTCACCGTAACTTGCAATTTTTGGTCAACCTCAGTTAGGATTAGGTATGCCTCTGTTGTTTCAGTGTAAAAACAATTTCATGGTGCCTACTTTGGAGATTCATATCTTACAATTGACTGGATGGAAATTGGAGATTAATGACTTGTTTTGAAGCTGGAGTGTCCCTCTACACATTGAAGTACTTGGGAGCTCGATAGGAAGTCCAGAAGATCACTTTTGAACCTGATCAAAAGGTTATGCCAAAACCGGAAACTGTCTGAAAATGGCCAAGTCAAAGAACGTGTTTGTGAAGTCTATTTTGGAGCTCAATTCGAGAAGCATGGATGAGAGTCTGAGTCCAGAGGTGTCTACCACGTGAAAGTAGGTATGTTTGTCTTAGGCATTAGATGAAAGATTGAATATCTGGAAGGCTTCAAACAAAAGGCTCGAAATTGCTACGAATGTTGTTTTTCTGGCAGCTTGCTTATCTAGAAAGCTAGAATTTGCTAAGAAGTGAATGATTAGCGTGGATTAACGATACCAAGGCACGGAATCTCCTCCATGGATCTCGATTTACCTACCCGCGATCGCCAGTTCGCCACTTGTCGCAAGTCGTGTAGCAGACGCAGCGTTCGCTTTTTCGCCTCTCTTCCTTCACCTCTACAGTGACTGAATCCTACTTCTACTCCAAAAAGATTTTCTTTCACCTCCGACGGCTAACATCCCACCAAATAAATCCCAACCCGATTCCTGCAACTATCCTACCAATTCTCTGCTCTGCTGGCGGGGAGAGTTAATCAACAACCCCGACGATGGATCCTGAATCGGTGATGAACACAGCAAAGCCGACCCAGATTCCGACTCGGGAAGAAGACCCATCATCGAATCAGTCCACATCTCTCCTCTCCCTCAGCACGGAAGATCCTTCGTCTCCGCCGCAGAAACCCACCACCACCATCATCTTCATCGCTCTCCTCCTCGTCACTTGCGTCGCACTCTCTGCTGCCTCCGCCTTCGCCTTCCTCTTCTTCTCCGCCGGCAAATCAGCTCATCCGTCGATCAAAGAGGACCAGACCGCGCGGCCGCTGACGAAATTGGATCACCCAGTCGTCCTGTTGATTTCCTCCGACGGGTTCCGGTTCGGGTACCAGCACAAGGCTCCGACGCCCAACATCCACCGCCTGATCGCCAACGGAACGGAGGCGGAGACGGGTCTGATTCCGGTATTCCCTACTCTTACTTTCCCCAATCATTACTCCATTGTCACTGGGCTCTACCCTGCTTACCATGGAATCATCAACAACAAATTTGTTGACCCGAGAACTGGAGCCGTCTTCAGTATGGCCAGCCACGACCCTAAATGGTGGCTCGGCGAGCCACTGTGGGAGACTCTGGCTAATCACGGCTTGAAAGCTTCTACTTACTTCTGGCCTGGCTCTGAAGTGATCAAGGGTTCTTGGGATTGCCCTAAGGGCTTCTGTATGCCCTACAATGAATCGGTTCCGTTTGAGGATAGAGTTGATACTGTCTTGAGTTACTTTGATTTGCCCAGTAACGAGATTCCTGAGTTTATGACACTGTATTTTGAGGACCCTGATCATCAAGGTCACTTGGTTGGTCCTGATGATCCCCAGATTACTGAAGCTGTTACTCACATTGATGGGTTGATTGGGAGGTTGATTAGTGGGCTAGAGAAGAGAGGGATATTTGAAGATGTTACCATAATCATGGTGGGTGATCATGGTATGGTTGGTACTTGTGATAAAAAACTGATCTTTCTGGACGATTTAGCCAAATGGATAAAGATTCCTGCAGAATGGGTGCCTTACTACACTCCGGTTCCTTCAATCCGCCCACCTGCGGGTGTTAATCTTTCGGAAGTTGTTGCAAAGATGAATGAAGGGTTGCAGTCCGGGAAAGTCAAGAACGGGAAGAACTTGAAGATGTATCTCAAGGAAGATCTTCCTAGCAGGCTGCATTACTCGGGCAGCGAGAGGATTCCGCCGATCATAGGGATGCTTGGTGAGGGGTTTAAGGTGGAGCAGAAGAGCACTACAGCACAAGAGTGTGGTGGAGCGCATGGTTATGACAATGCATTCTTCTCCATGAGGACCATCTTCATTGCTCATGGTCCTCAGTTTGGTAGGGGAGTGAAGGTGCCATCTTTCGAGAATGTGCAGATATACAATGTGATCACATCGATTCTGAACGTCCCGGGTGCCCCTAACAACGGGACTTCCTCGTTTCCTCAATCTATTCTTTTGCCTAAGGCTTAGTGAATGCCCACTGTTTGCTAGTTCAAAGAACTGACTATGTTGTTCTGTGAGGGTAGATGGTTGTGCTAGTATTATCACGTCGGAACCAGGATAGAACGCGCTTGTTGTGTCGTTCCTTTTGGATTGTAGATTCTTGCTTTCTCACTTGGGTTTAGGATTGTTTATTACTGTGAGCTGCATAACACGATCGAATGTTCCCCTGAAGTTTGAATGTTTGAATGTTTCATCTTCGAGTATGAGTTTCTTTCGAACGAACCATGAGGAAGAGTGCTATACATAGCAGTTAACTCTTTGTTCTGCATTACTCGTTCTTCTTTTTAGGCCTTTTAATTTTTATGGTAATCATCTAGTCGATGCAGGATGTGGCTATATGTTGCTGTGTTGTATTGTGGTATGTGGAGCATGATCAGGCTTCGGCAATCTGGTTTGCAACTCCACAGTCCAGGTGTCCTGCAATGTCTGAAACCTTCTTCGAGTGCAATATCCAGCACTTAGGCGCAATCCGTAATAGCAAAGAGCATGTGAGAAGTGCCAAGATGAACACTTTACTCCAAGACATTCTCAGACCGCTGTACAATTCAACAATGAATTCGCTTCCTTCGACCAAAATCAGTCGAGAAAACTATGCAAATGCATATCGAAGTCTTGAATACATTTTAGATAAAATCCTGATTATGTCGCTGATTTCCTACTAATTCTGTACTAAGCGTTTATATTTTCTTATCGAGCACTTAAGAAGCGACAAAGGCAACCGTAACCGGCAGGGCCAAGTCGCCTAGCCAACTACCAAAATACTCTCCTCACCCCAATTTTCCATGTGATTTCTCTTTCTTTCCAATTGGGAAAAGAAAGGGCAGTTGCTTTTTTTTGGCAGATTCTGGTTCACTCAAAACAATTACACTGCTGCCCAGTGGGCAGAAGAGGATACACACAGCGATAGCAACAGACCTTCATCTGATACTTCTCCCTCCCCTATCCTCTCTGTTCTCGTCTTTCGCCCGCCACTTGAGCAAAAACAATCTTGGTATCTTTCTATCGGCTCGGCTTCCATGGCTTCCTTCCGGTCCTATTGAAAATTCATGTTCTGAGCTTCGTGATTTTTCTTTTTGCTACTCCGTGGGCTTTCTTTATCCTCTTTCTCCCTGGGATTCTGGTAAATGGCAGATGCTATCTGGTCGCCATCTTTTCGGTTTTCTTCCTCCCTGCTCACCACCGCCTCTGTTTCCGCCTTGAATTCCTCTTCCCAGCCCTCTATTTCGCCCGCTGGCTCATGTTCGGATAAGAGGGCTTCCCCCGTTTTGTTCGTCTCTTCTGCTGGCGTTTCTGCCTTCGTTCCTGCTCCAAGGAAGCAATTCAATTCCTTAAAGGTACGATCTTTTAGCTTCCCAGTTATGGGGGTTTTCATTGTAACCAGTGGTGCTCTAATGGGGGTTCAGATGTTTAGGATTTCCCTTTTGTTGGAATTGAGTTCTTAGTCATTGGCATGCCATGATTAGGAGTTTGGTGCCTGCTTTTCCTCCTTGTGCTTGGGGTTTCTTTTGGTATGGGAATTCAGCACCGGTAATTTGTTACTGTGAAACTGTAGATGGCTACCTTGTAGAAATTAAGTGAATCACTTGATAGTTGATAGCAATTTTGTTTCTTACTTGCATAATCTGTAATCCTCTGGGTTAGTTATAATAACACAATGTACGTTTGAGCTTTTTTGGGGTTCTGAAGTGGGTGGTTGTTCAGCTATGCTTTACTCCCCATTATTTTGGATCAATGTTGGGGCTACTTCAGGCCATGGACAATGTCTGGCTCTGACGTTCTACTGGCCAACGCTTAATCTAATTCAAGAGTGGAGGCCATAGCATACACAGTAAACGGCAGTACCTGTAGGACCACTTGCTCGTTATGTATTCCAAGCTAAATACTGAAGTCAGTTTTTGTGCTTTCTGAATTGGTTATGAGGCATTACCTTCCCGTAGAATGTGCTCGAATAGTGCACGCATGTTGGGTTTGAAAGCCAATTTCTTTCTGCCATTAATGCTTTCAGTAAGATAATGCATCTTATATAAACTTGGACTTTTCATGGTTACAATTCTGTAGAATGAGTCTGTTAGTTCATCCAACTATATATGAATCATCTACTTAAATCGATTAGTCAAGGCCGATTAATTTGTTCTTGATTCTCAATTACCGATACTCGATGTATGTTGGAAATTTGTTTTCTAACGAGTCCCTATTTGTAGGCTGAATGGATTCCACTTAGTATGTGATTGAATGCTTTGCTGGAACATCCTTCGCTCCCCATATATGGATCTATTTGGATGCTAAGTTGATTAAAGTTTTTGGTTTCAGGTACATGCAACTATTGCCGAGACAGACCAGCCAAAATGGTGGGAGAGAAATGCTGGACCAAATATGGTCGATATTCATTCTACACCAGAATTTTTAAGTGCCTTGAGTGAAGCTGGAGATAGATTAGTCATTGTTGAATTTTATGGCACGTGGTGCGCTTCTTGCCGAGCATTGTTTCCCAAGGTATCTATGACGTCTATACATAGTATAGCAATAAATTTTTAGTGCCTTTTCAGAGTAATTTCAAACACCAACATAAACTAAGTTTGTGCTTTTGTGATCTGCATATTCAATATTTAATAGCTTTTTAAGTATTGTATAATAAGCTGAAAACTTGTGTTTGTGAAGAATTGAGAGTTTTTGTGCCTAGCTTGAGAAGTCATGCTAAAAGGAAAATCTGCACAGCCTAGAATTGTATCCTAAAATGCTACTCTTATGTTCTTGTAAACTAGGTTAGTGCCAATTCCACTTAAATTTGTTATATATACCCCTCAGGGAAGTGGAACCTAAGGCTTCTACTGCGAGGAAAGATGAGATTTAATATAAATTATGGAAATCGTCTTGGTTAACCTTTTGCAGGATGATCCAAACTAGTTGAGTAGAAAGTGATGACGCTTTTCTTATATCTGATATGCTTACATGATCTATTTGAATGCAAAGATTGATTGTTAATTCCATCTAGTTTAAAATCTTGGGGGGTTCAGCAGAACAATATAATCTGTTTGGTTCTTTCTTTCTATAATTTGTGCTCCTTCCTATGTAAGATTCCAAGTTGGGAAGTTCATACCGCATCTTGTCCTTTGTTAGCTTGCCTCAAGAATGGTCTTGGAGTTATATGCTTAAGCTATTGTGCTAACTACCTGCTTGTGATAGAAATCTAGGAAAAACTTGCCCCAAAGATATGAATGTTCTTTCTTGGAATACCTCTTTGTGCTGAGTTTATCATGTGAATGGATGTGACAGCTCTGCAAAACTGCTGAGGAACACCCAGAAATTCTATTCTTGAAGGTCAATTTTGATGAAAACAAGCCGATGTGCAAAAGCTTGAATGTAAAGGTGCTTCCTTTCTTCCATTTCTACAGAGGGTCTGAAGGACAACTGGAATCCTTTTCCTGTTCACTTGTTAAGGTCAGTATATTCTTTCTATACCCTCTAGAAAAGATGATGATGCACTTTTCCACTTGGTGACGTTCGATTCAAACCCGAGATAAGAAATATTGAACAATCTTCTCCTATGATTTCTGTCGTGGGAAAACATCTAGGGTAGGCACGATGAAACAAACTTAACTGTAGGTAATAAGTGTTTAGTCCATTTAGATTGAGTTAGCTTTTCCAATCAATAAATTGAGTTAGCTTTATGAATACGAGTACGAGGATTCGTAATATCATTGTAGTGAAGCTTCGGATATGCACTCATTAACTGCCGATAAAATGGAACAACATTTGCCCACTTCAATTCACTTTCATATGAACAAAGGTTACTGATATTGAGCTACATTCTAACTCCTTCATTATCCTTCCTCCGAAACACATTGATTTGCAGTTTCAAAAGATAAAAGACGCAATCGCGAAGCACAACACCGAACGTTGCAGCATTGGCCCGCCAAAGGGCGTAGGAGAGCTCAACCTCAATTCCTTTGCTGCTCCAAAGGACAGCCCTCCTTCATAAAGCAGCAGCATTCTTTCTTCACTACGCAATTTTCCCCCAGGATTTGCATATGCTGGTATGAAACTCTCCACCATGATTACTGAGACTTTTATCACCACCCATCACTATACATAAGTCGAGTGTATATGTTTCATTCTCCCCTGTAACATTCTTTCTCTGTTAGCTTACTATAACTCTTCCTCCGCAAAATTCTTTCTTTTGCCATTTCTCTGTCGTGATGCTTGTAATTTCAACAGCTAAATTGCAAAATGAAATTCCATCGACTTATTATATCTTCCCTTTTCGCTTTTGGTTAGAGGTTGATGAATTTGGCTACTGTGGTATAATCGTTGGATGTAGGTGATGATAATTATTCACAAAATTATTATCATACATCTAATGATTGTGATTTATACGATCGATCCAATGGGGTAAGCACGTATTTACGTCTAAGGATTGTACGCAATGTAATGATTATGGATCGTTAGATGTTAGACGATCTATCCAATAATGTCAGCACGCATCTTCGTTAATGGTTGTAAGCATGCCAACGGAATTGACGATTGCTATGTAAGGTATATCTTTTTGTAATCATTTCCAAATCATCAAAAACACTTTGTGTGGATCTTTTCCTCTCTCAATTTCCCTCTCCATCTCTCTATCTCTCCGGTGTGGAGATCGGGAGGAATGACGAGGTACGGAACAATTCCATCATCATCGCAATCTCAGCAGCCGGCGCCGCCGCCGCCGGCATCCTCGTTTCCTTCGTCAACAATCGTACCCATCTGGGGTCAGAAGATCAGATCCACCGCCGAAAACTTAATCGCCACCGCCAAGCCATGGAAGCTCATGATCCAACCCCAATCCCTCACAATCCCCGCCACATTACCCCAATCCATCGACAGGATCAAAGCCAATGTCGCCTTCTTCCGCAGCAATTACGCCATCGTCGCCATATGTGCCCTGTTCCTCTCCCTTCTCTGGCACCCTGTTTCCTTCATCCTCTGCCTCGCCGTCGCCGCGGCGTGGCTGTTCCTCTACGTCCTCCGTAACGGCGGGGACCCCTTGGTGGTTGGTGGGCAGGTGATCGGCCAGAAGACGGTGGTGACGTCGCTGCTGGTGGGGACGATGGTGGTGCTCTTCTTCACGGAGGTGGCGGAGGACATCGTCGTGGGGCTTTTCGCCGGGATTGCGTTGATTGTCGTCCACGGAGCGGTGAGGGAGACCAGCGACCTGGTGGCCGTCGGCGGAGCTGTGCAGGATCCTGCAGCGATTGGGTCGTCGTCGGTTGCAATAGCAATACCCGGTTCGTATCAAGCAGCCGGCAATAAGAATATCAACAAATAGCTGCAATCTGCGACCCGCGAGAACGGCAGACCATAGAGCTTCTCTGTGTATTTTCTGAAAATATTTTTGTGTCCATAAAGCTCTGTATTGTTGATTAGCATAAACAAATACTCATGGAAATCCATGACATGTAACTTCTTGGGTCATATTTCCTAGTTGCCAAACGTAACATGGTGAAGATTTTGCTTGTTTTCACATCCCAAGTTCCCAATACTATTCTAATCAAGATTTTGTCTGCATCATGGTGATTTCGGTGAGGTTTAGAGGAAAAATCTTCACATGAAGACATTAAATTTCATAGTTCTTATAAAAGCAAAACTCATTCATTTTACTTCAAAACACGTCTTCTTAGTTAATGTTGCCGAATGTGAAGTTCTAGGCAATCTTCGTCATAGAAATCTGATCAAAATTGTTAGCTTGTGTTGCACAGCTAATTTCAAGGGATTGGTGTTGGAGTTCATGCCAAATGGGAGTTTGGATAAGTGGTTATATTCACATAACCACTTTCTAGACATCTTTCAAAGGTTGAATATTGTGATAGATGTCGCATCCGCTCTGGAATATCTACACCATGGTTATTCAACTCCAATAATAGATTGTGATTTGAAGCCCAATAATGTGTTGTTAGATGGAGATCTGGTCGCCCATGTAAGTGACTTTGGCACGTCAAGATCCTTAAGCGGGGATTATTCCATCACACAAACTATGACATTGGCTACAATTGGATATATGGCGTTAGGTACGTGTTATAATTTGAATTAATACATGAATTGCTGCATATTCCCCTAATGTCATTGTTTGTATAAGAGTTAAGGAGATAAGTATATTGCATGGACAAGTTTATTAATTATATTCATTCCTTTAAAGTTTAAATGCATTGCAGAGTTTGGTACGGAGGGAATTGTTTCAAGAAAGAGTGATGTCTATAGCTTTGGCATTCTACTTATGGAAGTTTTCACAAGAAAGGAAACCTACAGAAGAATTCTTTCATGATAAAATAGACATGATACAATGGGCCAGGACGTCATTGTCCATATGAGTAACTAACTTTGCTGACGCAAATCTGCTTATATGTGAAAAAGAGGGATGAGATACGGTGACAATGGGGGTTGCAGATTCACAACCCACTCTCTCTCCTGTCTCTTTCTTCTTTTTTTAAGTTGATGGTTAGGATTAAAAGAAGGGTATTTTTGGAAAGGAAAAATGTTAACACACCCAATCATTCTCCCTCCCATATAAATAAAATAAAAACCCTAACTCCTCCCTCTCCCCCTCATCTCTCTCTTTCCCTCCTCCCTCTCTCCAGACAGCACTGCCGTCGGCCTCCACCACCTGTCGCCGGCCTCCTCCCTCTCCCCCTCATCTCTCTCTTTCCCTCCTCCCTCTCTCCAGACAGCACTGCCGCCGGCCTCCACCACCTGCCGCCGGCCTCCTCCCTCTCTCCACCCACCATCAGCATCTCTCCTCCCACCATCAACATCTCTCCACCCCCTGCCGCCGGCCTCCAACACCTGCAGCAGCTTCCCATAAGCACCACCACGAAGACAATCAAGGGGAAGCAGCTGTCCCCCCCCCCCCCCCCCCCCCCCCGCGCCGCGCCGCTGTCCTCCCCTGCCGCCACCATTTTTATGTCGCCGCCACCGCGAGGTCAAGACTCATCCCTATTTTTTTCCAGATCTGATAGTCTCTACCGGTACCAATACCACTGGTAGCACTATTGGTACCAATACCACTGGTAGCGCTATTGGTACGCTACCACCACTCCCACCACTCACTGGTACCAATACCAGTGGCTCCCCTATCATCTGGTACCACTATCATCTGTTTTTTTTTTGGTGTTATTTGCTACTGGTATCGCTACCAATGCTAGTGGTAGCGCTACCAGTGCTAGTAGCGTTGTGTTATTCTCTACTGGTAGCGTTGTACTGGTAGCGTACCACTAGTACTGGTACATTTTTTACTGGTACCGCTAGTACTGGTACATTTTTTAACTTACTGGTAGCGTACCACTAGCACTGGTATATTAATTATCAGTAGACTAATAGATTGGTACACTTTTTAACGCATTGGTACATTTTTCAGGTTGCCGGAGGGAGTCTGCCGGAGAGAATTCGCCGGAGAAAAAGTTTGTCGGTCGATGCGGAGTGGCTGCTGGAGAAAGGAAGAGAGAGAGATAGATAGAGATATTAATGTATAGGATTTAAATTTCAGAAAAAAATTGTATTTAATATGGGTTTTTAATTCCCAATATAATTAATACAAAAAGGTAATTAATATATTTTTTTTTCATACCCAAAATACCCTTGGTTGTGAATCTGACAACCCCCAAGGGGGTTGTCACCGTATCCCGTCCCTGAAAAAGATAAAGATATCAATGCTAAAACAAACTGTTTATCGTCAATTATGAAGTTGGCGATAGATTGTTGTGCTGAAATACCAAGGGATAGAATGGACATCCATATCGTGCTTCACAAGCTTGAGACGGTTAGATCACGAATTTTGAAGGACCTTTGTAGTGGCTTGAAATAGATTGGAGGTTGGTGAGGGCTTTGAAGAAGTTTCTAAACTTGTAATATTGTCAGTTTCTATGTGGAGGGAGAATGGATGGTCATATACATGCATATTGCATAATACCTTTTATGCACAACATTGAAAATTTTGGTTGGATGTATTTTTTACCTTGATGTACTTGATCAAGGGTGTTTATGGTTAATTTTGTCATGATATTTGCTCCCGGTGTGCCGAAATCTAAAAAATAAAAGTACAATTACCTCTTATTTTTTAGAAGAATGTCAAAGACACAAATATAATCAGATCTTTCATGTTTTTTACACTAAGGAGAGGAGACTTCCACCACAAATTTGTCATGCTCTAAGACCATCCACAATGATGGAAGGGAAAAAAGGGTGAAAAGGGTGGGAAAAAGGGAGGAGGAGATTCATATATGGATTTTAGTGGGTCGGGTCTCGGGTTAAAATAGAGGAAAGGGTCATGTCATGTTTGGGTTCGGTTGGGGAAACTGACGTGGCGAGTTGTAATGACATGGCAGATTTTGTTTTCACTTTTTTTTTTGTTAAATTACTTTGACTAGGTGATTTTTGTTAGTCATGTAAAAAAAAACTAATGTCGTTAACTAAGACTAAGGGAGAGTGACCTAACTTGGAATATTAAACTAATCTTAGTGACCACAAATGAAATAAAATATTTATAGTGACCAAACATACAACTTCTTAGTAATCCCAATGACCAACCTTGCAATTTATCCAATTATAATATTTATATTTGAGTTTCTATATTAAAGATCATAGGCCAGAGCCCATAAGGGAGACCTAACTACCATTTATGTGATAATATTTTTTGTCAAGACGAGTGTCATTTGTTTTATGGATCGCTAAAGGTCGTTATAATATTACTAAACGTCGTCATAATATTAGTATGTAATTTACGGAATCACTCATTTCAAATTCAAACCAAACAACTTCCTTTTTCCTCTGGGGACTGAAACTCATCCCCAGCCTCCTCCTTCTTTTGGTTGCCGCCGGCGAGCACTCCCCCTCCGATTTGCTCACTATGCGTCCATGCCGATTCTCTGTAGAGCCTGAGTCACCCTCTCCATGCTCGGCGAGTCAAACAGAAAGCCAACCCACGTTCCATAAGAATTTTAAAATGGCTTCACAAATGCGGTTTGACCCATGGTGAAACCGTTGTCAACTATTCTGACTTCCCCAGAGCCCCCGGTAGCACAGCCGAGACAACGACGAGTTCTCTGCCCCTGCGGGGATGGAGCGACAGAAGTTTTGAGAATTCAAGAGAAGGTCACGGGGCCTATTAGAACTAGAAGGCGCTCTGGTGGGATCCTCACGGACCGTCGATTAAGGGGGTCCTAAACAAAAAAGGAGGTGCTGCTAGATGTAAGGATCTTATCAACGTCCATGAATGAGAAAACATAATCGAACTGCCGAATCGAAAAAATTGGGTGCTATCGTATAGCTTTGTACCGGCTAAGTTCACGAGTTGGAGATAAGCAGACTCGAACCGCTGACATCCGCCACAGGATAAACCACTACTTCTCGGGGCCCCCGACTGATTCTACCATAGAGGCCAACGATAGACAATAACTCCCCCTATTTTGGCATTATAACCGCAAAGAAAAGTTTCATTTTGACCATAGTTGTATCTGGGTTGGCCGAAAATTTTTAAAATTTGATTTCATTTATGTAATTTAATTTTTTAAAATTTAATTGAGTTTTATGAGTCAAGATTGATTTAGGATATTTTAGATTTTTTATAGTGGTGTGTTTGTTGTGAAGAGAAGCTAAAATGCACAAGAGGATAATAATGTAACTTAACAATTTTTAGTAATTTTTAAGACCATCTTTAAGACTTTAACAATTCCCTTTATTTTTTGCTGAAGTAAAGGTCATTTTCTCCAGGAAATTACAGTATCAGTGCCTTTCTTAGAGTTCTTCCTCACTCACTCTGAAGCCTGCGCGGAGAGTATTGGAGCATAACGCTCAGAATCAGTCTCGCATTGTGAAGCCAGTCGTCGGGTTGAAGGATTTTTTTCCCCGTCCGGAGACTCTATAAAACGATCCACGAGCCAGAAAAGGGCTCCAAAGGTTTAGGGTTTAGTGACTTGTGACTGCTGACCCAGGTGAGTTCTCTGCCTTCTTTCCCCTCTTTTGTTTGGAAAATCGTAACTTAAGCGTGTTTAAGTTTCTGGGTAGGATTTCCGCCTAAGAAATTGAAGCGACGAAACTGCATTTGTTTGTTTACTGGGGTTTCTGTTTCCTTTCAGCTGTTTATGGTAGGGTTGCATGTCTTGTTAAGAAAATGGTAACTTTGGCATGTTTGGACTACTGGGTATGATTTTCGCCTCGGAAACTGAAGCAACGGGACATCGTTTGTTTGTTCATAGGGTTTCTGTTTCTTTTCAGCTGTTCTCGATCGTTTGCATGTGTTGTTAGTTGTTACCCATAACCATTTTAACGAAATGCACGCTTTTAATGGGTTTCTGTTGATCTTCTCCTGATTTCCCCTTCCCCCGTTTCAGTGATAGTATGGACTCACCAGATTTCATGGAAGAAGATGTGGGTACAAGCAGTAGAAATGAGAAGTTTGAGAATTTTGATATCGATGATCTATTTGAAGATGGTGATGATGATGGAGGGGAGAACATGCAGAAGTTAAAGGAGATAGGGGAAGTGAACTTGAATAACTTCTGTAGAAAGGCAGCGACCCAGTTTTTCAATGAGTACGGTCTCATCAGTCACCAAATCAACTCGTACAATGACTTCATCAGCAACGGTCTGCAACGGGTCTTTGATTCCTTTGGCGAGATCTTGATTGAGCCGGGATATGACCCTTCCAAGAGGGGAGATGGTGAGTGGAGGCATGCTTCAGTAAGGTTCGGAAAGGTTACTGTTGAAAAGCCAACCTTTTGGGCTGAATCAGATTCAGAGAAAAAGGAGCGTAAGTTCCTACCTAGAGATGCACGCCTACAGAACATGACTTATGCTGCAAGGATCAAAGTGGAAGTCACTTTCCAGGTAATTGGAACTTCTGATTTCTGTTCAACTACTGTTTGTTGTTATTGATTTTGAAGTACACACCTTTTTTAAGTTTTGGCTTCTTGTTTGGCACATTTTTCTGTGGGCAATAACCTATAAGGTCTTAGAAAGAGGCCAATTTGCTGCTGTTTTGTGGAGGAATTTGCTGCATGAACATGGCCTGGATTATGCTTGTGTTTACTGAAGCCCACAAGTTTCGATGGTAGGGTTGTAGGATTGGTGTTCGACAGATTTGGTCAAGGATTAATTCCTGCAGTCTAGAGCAGCATTATATTCTAAATGTAAATAGGTTTAAATATGGTTGTGCTAGTCACTGTGAGTTAGTAGTTTCCTCCTGAATGAAATGGGCGTCTAGAGAAATAGATAAAAAGAGGAATACTTATTCTGTTCTTGTATTGCCTTGTCCTCTTTTCTGTGATATCCATTTGACAATACCATCTCTCCCCTTGATGCAAACTCTAGAAAAGAAACTCGCGCCTAATTGTTGAGAATCACGTTGATTGCAGAACATGTCCCTGCCTATCTTGTGGAAATTTCTAATATGTGTTTTATTTACTTTACAATTATCTCAGGTGTACACACCTAAGCTTATTGGAAGTGACAAGTTCAAGACGGGGAAGGACAAAATACTTGAGAAAGTGATACAAAACAATGAGACTGAAGAGGTTGTGATAGGGAGTCTTCCTGTGATGGTGAAGTCTGATCTGTGCTGGATGAAGACAGACGAGAAAGTTGATTGTGATTTCGATCAGGGAGGCTACTTTGTGATAAAAGGTGCTGAGAAGGTGAGTTTTCTTTTTCTTTTCTAGTTGGGTCTTTTATTTTGAAGCTACCAATCTGTAAAGTTGTGTAGTCATTCTTTTTATTCATTTGGCTGATGTGTTTATACATTTCTCTGCGTTGCAGGTTTTCATTGCTCAAGAGCAAATATGCATGAAGAGGCTTTGGCTTGTGAGCAGTCCCACCTGGACCGTAGCATACAAATCAGAGGTTAAGAGGCACAGGCTGATTGTTAGAATAGCTGGCCTCAGTAGAGGTGAGGAGATAAAAGGAGAAAAGAAAGTTCTGATGGTGTACTTCTTGTCAACTGAGGTGCCATTGTGGGTCTTGTTCTTCGCCCTCGGTGTCAGATCGGACAAAGAAGTCGTAGATCTGATAGATTACGACAATAATGATCCGAACGTAGTCAATATACTCTTTGCATCAATTCAGGAAGCTGAGAAATTTGAGGGGTTCCGCAGGGGGAGAAAAGCACTTGAATTTGTTGATGAGAGTATACACAAGACCCAATTCCCGCCCACTGAGCGCATGGAGGAATGTATTAGCAAGTATCTTTTCCCAACTCTGGAACATCCTACCCAAAAGGCTCAGTTTTTAGGGTATATGGTGAAGTGCCTTTTACTGGCCTCTACTGGTCATAGGAAATCTGATAATAGGGATAGTTTCAGAAACAAGAGGCTTGAGTTGGCAGGAGAGTTGCTTGAGAGGGAGTTGAAAGCTCACATATCGAATACTCAGAAACGTATGAAGAAGACCCTGCAAAAGTCCCTTGATGATGGCCGACCTATCCAACCGGTTGCTTTTTACCTGGATCCTTCTGTTGTAACCAATGGTTTGTCAAGAGCATTCTCCACTGGAGCATGGTGCCATCCTTGGAGGAAAATGGAGAGAGTTTCAGGTGTTGTGGCGAACCTTGGCCGCACAAATCCACTGCAAACAATGATTGATTTGCGAAGGACTCGCCAGCAGGTCTTGTACACTGGGAAAGTTGGAGATGCTAGATACCCGTAAGTCTTTGAAAACCTAGTGCTTACTTTTCTCTTGCGTTCTACTGAGCTTATTGTTGAGCAGCCAAAAACTGAAGCATCAATTGATTGTTACGTTATTTGATGCACTTTAAGGCTTGCATGAGTACAACAGAAGCAGGACTACAACTGCTGCCAATTTGAGTCTTCATGTCTTGCATTAAACTTTTATCCATAGATTAATCTATATACATATATATAACCTGAAGGAGCTGGAATATCTAGACCTTCACTTGGAGTCAGTGTGCAGTTTGGCAATTGGGTGTTAGATTTATTGTGTTATGTTTCAAATTTGAAGAATGGAACGGTTTAATGGGCATTCATTGTAAATTGTCCAGTTCTTTGATAATCTTGGCCAAAGTTGGATTGATTCCCCTATTTTTCCTCCAGAGTTTCTACTGAACAGAAAATGCTAATTTAGATATGAGTCATTGACTAGCAGATAGTGAACTGAGTTTCTGTCTAAATCATGCTTTGATGCTGAGTAATCAGGCGTTGTTAGTGATGTAATTAGTTTATCCATGCATTTCCTATACCTATCAGCTTGGTTTGATGCTAAGTCCTGGTTTCTTTCTTTCTACTTCTAAGCTTCTTACAGTAGAATGTGAGCAGTGAATAATATAAAGACTGGGACTAAAGTCTGTGTGACAGTCGTAACCTCTGGATTTAATATCAAATTATTTCTATGCAGGCACCCTTCTCACTGGGGTAGAGTTTGCTTTCTCTCCACTCCTGATGGTGAAAACTGTGGTCTTGTAAAGAATCTATCCATCACAGGTGTTGTCAGTACAAACATAACAACTCCTTTAATTGACAAGTTAACTTACTATGGGATGGATAGACTTGCTGAAGGAACTTATACTAGACTCGATGGAAATGAAAAAGTGTTTCTGAATGGGGAATGGGTAGGAGTTTGTGAAACTCCTCACTTGCTCGTGAGAAAGTTAAGGCGCATGCGACGCAAAGGAAGGCTGCCACATCAGGTACTTTTTAAATGATTCTTATAACACTATCAGATTTCTGCCACGGCAATCCAAATTTAGCATCTGCTCTTTTCCTTGCAGGTGGAAATTAAAAGGGACGAACAGCAGAAAGAAGTGCGTATCTTTACGGATGCCGGAAGGATTCTGCGTCCTCTAATTGTTGTTGAGAACTTAGCAAAGATAATATCTTCGAAAGGGGAAACTTATACCTTCCAATCCCTTTTGGATGATGGCATCATTGAGTTCATTGGGACTGAAGAGGAAGAGGATTGCTCTACGGCTTGGAGCATAAAAAAATTGTTAAGGTCAGGTGATGGGATGCATGCTGTGAAGTACACACACTGTGAACTCGACATGTCATTCCTGCTAGGTTTGAGTTGTGGAATTGTCCCCTTCGCAAATCATGACCATGCAAGGAGAGTTCTATATCAGTCGCAAAAACATTGCCAACAAGCTATTGGTTTCTCGACCACAAACCCCAACATCAGAGTGGATACACTGTCCCATAAGTTGTTTTACCCACAAAGGCCTCTTTTCCGAACCACCACTTCTGACTGTTTGGGGAAACCTTGGTATCCACTTGGTCACAATGGAGTTCTTCCTAGGCCTGAGTTTTTTAATGGTCAGAACTGCATAGTTGCAGTAAACGTGCATATGGGGTACAATCAAGAGGATTCCTTGGTGATGAACCAGGCTTCTTTGCAGCGTGGGATGTTCCGGACCGAGCACATCAGGAGTTACAAGGCCGAGGTGGATAACAAGGAGGAAAAGAGAAGAAAGTCTGATGATCCTGTTCATTTTGGGAAGATACAGAGCAAGATTGGTCGAGTCGATAGTCTCGATGATGATGGTTTTCCCTCAATTGGAGCAGATCTGCAGAGTGGGGACATTGTTGTGGGGAAGTGCGGTGAGTCTGGAGCTGATTACAGTATCAAATTGAAGCACACTGAAAGAGGCAAGGTTCAGAAGGTTGTTTTGTCGGCTAATGACGAGGGAAAGAACTTTGCTGTGGTATCATTGAGACAGGTAAACCTAATACCCTGGCCTATATGTCTAGTGGATATTATTTTAAGGATTTATCCTAATGTTCACTGACTTCATGGAGGCAGAAGTTGAGGTTCTCTTACTGTGATTTCAATCTTTTAAGGATTGTCTTGCTTATTTGTAGGTGCTGTCCTTTCCTCTCACTTTCATTGCTGATGCACTTTGTATGTATCCTGACTTTCTGCAGGTCCGGTCTCCAACTCTAGGTGACAAGTTTTCAAGCATGCACGGGCAGAAGGGTGTTCTTGGCTTCCTAGAGGCTCAGGAGAACTTCCCCTTTACAATACAAGGAATAGTGCCTGATGTGGTCATCAATCCACATGCATTTCCTTCACGTCAAACTCCTGGCCAACTCTTGGAGGCTGCTCTGGCAAAAGGGATTGCTTCTGGGGGTACGATGAGATATGCAACTCCTTTCTCCACTGTCTCGGCCGAGTCCATCACAGACCAGCTGCACAGGTGACAATACTAGCTACTACCTCACATTAAGTTCTGGTTTTTATGCATTCTTGTTGTTGACCCTGCTCCATTTGATTCAACAAGTTGATGAAGGTGTAGATGATGAAATTGTAAAAATGCGTAAATTATCTTGGAATGATTAGCTGCTTCCGCAACTTGTTGACTTTTTAGGATAGCTGAATTATGTGTGAAGTGAATTGACTAAATATGACCCTACAAGCTTTTGGAGTTTTATGACAAGACCAGAACTGGAAGTATGGAAGAGACAATAGTAAGGTCTCAATGCTAAATTCCATAACGGAGGTGAATGTTAGAACCTAGAAGTTGGGCCAATGTATTTGATCAAGAAGTTGTCCACGTTTGCTTTGTCCTAGCTCACGTTTACAGTTTTAATTGACTGAGAGTAGTCATTGTCATATCTGGTTGCAAAAAAACAGGGCTGGATTTTCAAGATGGGGAAACGAGAGGCTATACAACGGTCGAACCGGAGAAATGGTCAATTCGCTGGTCTTCATGGGCCCGACCTTCTACCAGCGGCTGATCCACATGGCTGAAGACAAGGTCAAGTTCCGTAACACGGGACCTGTTCACCCGCTCACCAGGCAGCCGGTTGCAGATCGCAAGCGTTTTGGCGGGATCAAGTTCGGCGAGATGGAGCGTGACTGCCTGATAGCCCACGGCGCATCAGCAAACCTCTACGAGCGGCTCTACACGCTCAGCGATTCCTCCCAGCTGCACATCTGCCAGAACTGCAAGAACATCGCCAATGTGATCCAGCGATCTGTCCCCGGTGGGCGCAAGGTCAGGGGCCCTTACTGCCGTATCTGCGAATCCGTTGATGACATTGTGAAGGTGAATATCCCCTATGGAGCCAAGCTGTTGTCCCAGGAGCTCTTCAGCATGGGGATCAGCCTCAAGTTCGATACCAGACTTTGCTGAGTTGAGTAATCAAGTTACATGCATGGGGACAAAAACTTAGGTGCAAATGCTGACATTTGTAGGGTCTGTTGGTAGTTTTTCTGTGTCAGTTGAATGTGCTCCAAGTTGCAGAGACAAAACAGAAATGCCCCTGATCTTATCTAGGACTAACAAAACAAACGGAAATGTTGCGGTATATTTGCTGGGAACTAGTGTGCTGAAAACGGTTTTTGGCAGCACTTGTTGACTGTTAGGACTTTCGTATGAACAAAGTGACTCATGCATGTTTTCTTTAGCAAACGAGTCGTTCGGTAAATGACCGAACTCGGCCTATGATCATACTGTTAAGGTTAGAAAGATGGTTATTTTGCCAGGCTTGGTGAAACCGTTCAATGATTGCAGTTAAAACCACAATGGATGTCCAACTCAGACTACGGCTGTGCCAGCCATTTGCCAGCCAGATGGTATAAACTTTCAAGAAACAAGGACCAAATGTAACTATCAAATTATATATTAATACCTCTAATTATAGGATAATTGGGGAAGAAGATGGAATCTTCTCCGAGATTAGGAGTGGTGTGTGAGGGCATTGAGGTTCAAAAGAGTGATCAGCCGCCACTCAATTTGCCCTTTTTAGGTTTTTTGACAGTAACCCATTTGGCCATCAGTCTTTGTCCTGTGGCTCAAGGATTCAACTCCATTAATATTTTAAAAGTTATATAATCAACCTAAAGAAAAAGGAACACCTCTCTTCTCATGATTCATGTTTTCAGATAAGGGCTAATTAGGTTTGAGTGCTTATACTTAAAATTCTGTCATCTATAAGGCTCTAGTAGGGATGGAAAGTTTTTTTAAAAAATATTTGGGTATTGTTGGACTCAAACTTATTATGGATCAATTCAGGTTTGGGTAATTTTACTCTTTAGCATTATTCGTAAAAAAAAAAAAATTAGTGTGGGTCTAAATTGGATCTATATCATTGGGTGCTCAAAAGAAAATGAATATTTGATTATGATGCAATTTTTTCTTTTCCTTTTTGTTATGAAACATCAACATTAAAGGTGTAATTAGGTTGACTGCAGTTAATGAGATAATCAATATTGTGTTTTTGTATGTACAATCATCTGAACCTGAATAGACCTGTTTGGGTCTGACTCAAAGTGGACCCAATTCAATTCAAATCCAAACCAAACTCAAAATCATTAAACGTGCACTTGGGTTCACTTGACCCGACCCAATATTCATATAGGTCATGGCAATTGGGTCAAATTACCCAACAAATCGACATATTACCATTCCTCTAGGTGAACTTTTGTCATTCCTTTCTCCATTAGATTCATCTAATAAATACTATTAAGAGTTATAAGTTTTTGAAACTAAACAAAGGTTTTCGAACTTAATTATCCACTAGGTAACATACTAGTTTAGTCAACCACTTATCCTTTCTTCATTAATTTTGCTCGACGAATAGTCACGGTTGGTTATTTGATTAATCTCCTGGTATGATAAATAATACGATGTTTGGATGGTTTGTTGGATAACAACCAGTCTGAGGATAGAGGGAAAAAAGGACTTAAACGATATTTGAACCGAATCAAGTTAGATGAAATATAATATGAATATATGATTCATTTTTTTAGTTTCGTCGATTTTCTGAATTAAAAAAAGTTCAAAATTGGTATTGGATTAGACTAAATTGAACCAATTATAGAGTGCAAGCGCCAAAATGGCAACTCATTACCCTTGGAAGAACGATAGAAATTGCTTTGCTTCCTCGCCCTAACTTGCCTTCCTCCCTTGGCTTTTTTCATCAGATTGTGATTTAGATTAGGTATATGGACTTTGATTGGATGATAGCGTGGTCTTTAGAAAACAGAAATAGTTAGAGTGGGAGTTGTAAGTTTTTCCAAAATAATTTAGGACCACAAACTTAGACTCTACATCAAAAGAGTCATAATAGTCACACCAAGTGTTGTTGTTTGTAAGAAAAAGCAATGTATTATCATTAACAAACTTCATTTCATATTTCTCTTATATTAAGTCATCATTTTCCTTTTGTTTCGTAGCGGATCTATCATATACATTAGATCAATTCTCAGAAAGGTCATTGATCATTCGACATGAGTTGCTGCTGAAGAGAGCGAAGAATAGCTGTCATACTTCTATCTTGATTACTGAATCAAACATTATGAAAATCAGAAGGCGCAGATAAGTACCATCTAATCTAACTGTTGACTAAACAGTTTCTGACAAATAAGAAATATACTAATGTGATTGGAGGACACATTTCATAATTGAAGTACAACACTAAACATAAGCTAGTGCAAAGGAATGGATTCTAGATTCTTCAATAACACCCCTTAAAAGTTATTGATAAGACATGCTTATATATTTGTACTTAAGAATAACAAAAGAAAGCAGAAAAGCAAAACATAAAGTAGAAAAAGAAGCTATTTTTTATTGTTTTCTCTTCCATTGTCACATTATTATTTATCATTATATTTACAAAAATGAGAGTAAAAAAAAAAAAATTCAGAAAACTCCATAGTGGTATTTCATCATCTTCATCATTCACAAATTCATGCCATTATTATTAAGAAAAGGGCCATTCATTCATGGCCCCAAAAGCTCTTTCTTTCTTTTTTCACAATAAACAAAAGACCCATTTTTTTTTCCAGTTTTCGATCGCTCGCCGCAGCATTACCAACCACACGTTTCTCATTGACGCTTCGATCGGCAATGGAAGACCTTGAGCTCGCACTTGGGCGCCACCGTCGCCAGCAGCAGCCGCGCCGTCGCCTCCTGCATCACCGGAACCCCTTCCTTCTCCACCAGCGCCGCCGCCACGATCCTCTCGTACCCGGCCCCGCCGCCGACGATGTACGCCACGATCGCCGCCTGCACGGGCCCCAGGCTCGGATTGTACGCCGCCGACTCCATGTACGAGCCCCGGTACACCTTCCCCTCGCAGTCCATCAGCGCCACTCCCGACGGGCACTTGCTGTACGGCGCGTGGGACCGATTCGCCGCCTCCAGCGCCTCCAATTTCAGATCCTCCTCCTTGCCGCGGTTCCCCCCGCCGCCATTTAGGTTTCCGTTCTCGAGAGGGAGAGGGGGAATTACGAGGGCGAGATCGTTGTTGTGGCGCTCGAGGATCAGGGGAACGTCCTTGGAGAGGAGATCGTCGGGGCCGAATCGGTGGGGGAGGATGGTGGAGAGGTCCTGGTACCGGCGGCGGAGGCGGTGGTTGTTGTCATCGGCGGCGGAGGATAGGTGGTGGTGGTGGTTGTTGTTGTCGTCGGTGATGAGGATCCGAATGCCGGGGGCGGCGCGGAGTTCCTGGAGGAACTGGCGGCAGTGGCCGCAGGGGGCGGCGGAGACGGCGAAGCAGGGGAGGGAAGGCTCGGCATTGAGGGAGAGGTTGGTGACGAGGAATTGCTCGGCGTGGATGGAGTTGTTGAGCGGGAGGCCCGGGAACTCGATGTTGGCACCGAAGAAGATCCGGCCCGTGGATCCGAGCCCAACGGTGCCGACGTGGTAGTTGGAGATGGGCGGGCGGGCCAGGGCCTGGGCCGATTTCACCAGCGAAGGGAGCAGCTCCGCCGCCGAGGCGAATCCTGATTGCTTCGCCATCGATTCGGCTTCCGCCGCTTCGATTACGAACCGAGGCCGCCCGATCTTGCTGTCCATTTTCCGGCCGGTGAATTTCGCGAGATCGGAGAGGATTTGAGAGACAGAGAGGGAAGTGGAAGAGAGAGCGGTGGTGGTGGGGGAAGGGAAGTGGAAGAGAGATCTGGATTATTTATAAGGAGGAAATTGCTGAGTGTTGGGTACTCTTTTATTTATTAATTTATTAAGTAATAAAAAACAATTTCCGTTTCTTCCTATTCCTGTGTTGCTTGCTTGTTCTCCCATCCATCTAGGGTTGTTAATGAGCTCGGTCTCAAACTCGATAAAATCTTGTTCGATTAAAAAAAAGTTCGGCTCGTTAATAAACGAGCCGAGCTTGACTTCTACCTTGTTCGGCTCGTGCAGCTCGTGAACTAGCTCGATTAGGTGGCTCGATTAATACAACTCATGAACTGTCTCGTTAATGATGCATATAATTATTAAATTTTATATATCACCTCATATGGTGTTTAATACATTGAGTATATGTAAGCAAATATGTCTCATATATGACATAACATTAGGTAATCACTTGTATCACATATGACATATAAATATTAGGGTATTTATATTATAAATTGTCTTAGAGTTGAACTTGAACCGAACTTTCGATTTTAACGATGTGTCAAGATTTAATCAATGAGTTGGCTCGTGTTCGACTCGACTCAACTCGGCTCGTTAATAAACGAGTCGGGCTCGAGCTCGGCTCGTTTATTAACGAGCCGAGTTGAGTTGAGTCGAAACTCGACTGGACTCGGCTCATTAACAGCCCTACATCCATCCCGATTTTGATTTTGATTTTAATTTATATCAATACAAGTAGAAATAATTTTCATAATTTCGCAATCCAAATCACATTTTCTTAGATGGTTAATTATGAAATTTGATTATTTGTTCTTCCATAAATCTCCGCCCCACGATGAGTTGTCATTTTAGTACACTCTCATCTCTCCCTTCTTAATTTTGTTTTAAATTTTGTGCAAGCTATTTATATTTTATCTACATTAAGTTGAATGTTGTGATCCATAAAATAATATCTATTTTAGTACGAATTTTTTTAATCATCCTGAAATCATTTTCACCATTCTCATTAGTACCATTGTAAAATTTTATGCCATATAATAATTTTTTTAGTACCATTGTAATAATTTTTTTTGTAACATGGTGGTAACTGGTAACATAGATAATATATACTATATGATACAAAACAAAAAATCATAGATGAAAATATAATGACATATTCAACGAGTAAAAAAGGGGGGAAAAAATGAAATGAATTTTCTTCTTCTAAATATTGCATGTATGTCGTATGATCTTGTAGGTCTCATTAAACCTAATTTGGGCTAATACCACTACAATACCCAAACTATTCGGAAAATGCCACTTGTATTCTATTGTTTCCAATATTCCATCTGTGTCCTGAACTATTATTCCGTTAGCGTTGACCGGCGTTGACCGTTAGTATTTAACAGAAAATCCAGTCATCGTTGATGTGGCATCCGATGTGAAATTTTTATCATCAATTTTCATTTATTTTTCAATCTAAAATAATTAAAATAAGGAAAACAAAATAAAAATTATGGAAAATTACAAAAATCAAATAATAAATCAAATCGACAGTTCTTGAGATCTATAGATTTCAAAGTGAAGAAAGTATTCTAAAAAAATGAAGAGCATGATCGAGTGGAGGAAAGAATTCAAAATCGACGAGCTCGTAGAGGAAGATATGGAAATCCCAATCCACCCCCAATCTGTAATGGTGCTTCAGAGTACCGATGATGGCAGATCAATTTTCCCTCTCGCTGCTTCTCTGCTTCATCGAGCTCCAATCCCTATGCTTCTTCCCCCTCCAGTCCGGCGTTCACTATTGTGCTGCTTCTCTCTCTCTCTCTCTCTCTCCTTCCAATCTGGAACTCTTTGTAAATGACAGACATAGCAATTATAGGCACCAAATCAACAACACAATTGTAAGCTCGAAAATTGAAAATCCCAATTGCTAGGGATTGGAATTGTGGCGATGGCGTTCAGATTAAGGGCGGCGACATATTGGATCCCAACCCCAAGCCACTCCTCTCGACATTCAGTTCATAACTTAAGCATTTGTTATGAACAACAGATTTGGTTGTAATCGCCTACAAAAGTTGCCGTCGACGAGCAGAGAGCTAAAGACAAGTCTCGCGCCGATCTCCCCTGCCTCAGTCGCCTACCGGCGTTCGTCGAGAGAAGAGGAAGAATGGAGGCAGAGAGAAGAGAAGAGATTAGAGAGGAGGCACGTTTTGCAGTCAAGAGAAGAGGAAGAACGGAGGCGGAGAGAAGAGATTAGAGAGCATTTTTTATTTTATTTTTAATATCAATTTATTGTTGTTAAATTTTTAAAATAATATTAATTTTAGGTTAAAAATATTCTTGAATTTAAAGTTTATTTTTTATTTTTTATTTTTTATTTAATTTAAATTTAAAAAGGTGAGGTGTCAATGACTTGGCCTTGCCACGTAAGCAAAAGTCAATGTAAGTTGACCGCCGTTTGGTCAACTGTTATCTTTAACGGTCAACGAAATTGGCAGGATACAAATGACACAAAATATAATAGTTCATAATATGAATGGAATATTGGAAACAATATGACACAAGTGGCATTTTCCGGATAGTTTGGGTGCTGTAGTGGTATTAGCCCAACCTAATTACTATGTAAATTTTCTTGTTAGATATAATGATGGTGGGTGGACTTGAACTAAGGGTTCGTTTGGAAAATAATATTCGGAGTATAGATTCATAAAATTTATAAATATAATAAAAAAACATTTTCTTGTTGCTTGTCATAGATTTCAGGTTCATAGATTACATCTCTCAAATCAAGAGATATCAAATCTCATAAAGAAGCCGATATTCATCATCTAAAACATAGTTCTTATCAGATAAGTCGTCAGAGTCACCGCTTTTAAAGAAACTGTCAATGAGCAAAAGGTGCCACCATCCTTTGACGTAGTAGGGGTTATGGTGGATGCATCTGATTGTTACATGATTGGTGAGCAATCTCGGGTCGATTAGCCTAAAAATATTTATTGCTCTCGGCTGGGGATGATGAGTAGTGACTTAGGGGACAGTGGCAGAGGCAAAAATTCAGACGAGGGAGGAGCTGATTTGAATTTTCATAATTGGAGGTGAGGACTAAAATCTTCCCGACTATTCTAATGCCTAAAATTTGAGTGAGAATTTAGTTTAATGTTATCTGTATTTTAAAATTTAACGGGTTACGGCATCTACTAGTTTCAATCTGCCTCCACAGGGTAATGATCGAGAGTGTCTACGAAACTTTGAGAGTGGATAATTAGTAATGATTTTGAGGATCACTAGTATGCACTAATTAGTTACCAATTCGTTGAGATCATTTAGTAAGGATAGAGGGGTCATTTTGAGTCCCAGGCAAGGTTGTCGACCCGTGGGTCGACCCACTTTGACCCTGACCCGGTGAGAAAAACGGGCCGCACGCAGTACCGGGTTGGAGGTCAAATTGTGTCATTTTTGTCTTTGTTTTGCGAAATGCACCTATTTTCCGATTTTTCTTTTCGCCTAACTCAATCTTTGGAATCCTAAGTTGAACATTTGAATATTAATGTTATATAAGTGTGTGTGAATTTTCACTATATGTTGAATCTAAGTACGAAATGTTATTTTGGTATAATATTATATGTTACAACTCATATGTTAGATGAGATTTGATATAATTTATCAGGATAAGTACAATATGATGACGTTTTCCATATTTTCGGGCTAAACCGGGCTAAAACGGGTGACCCATTAACCCTTGACCCACTAGCTCAACCTGGTCAACCCGCGGGTTGACAACCTTGGTCCCAGGTGTTATAGAATTCTTGAGTCTCCTCTCGGATTTGAAGAAAATGGGATGAAAAAGAGGTGGAACTTTGAATAATTTTGCGACCATTTTGTGGGAAGATGGACGCCTGAGATATATAATTGGAATTATTGTTGTTTTATAAACAAATTAATGTTATCGATTACCTCCCTTAAAGATAGTTAAAAACCTGACATATAATGTTAATAGGAAGTTGGAAACTATAAATAACTCTCTTAGTTAGCCACGAAGCTGATCACGACCAAAGTTATAACGATAATTCTGTGTGAACACAAGATTCCTGCAGTTGTGTGGACTGCATGGCGAAATTAGTAGTCATGTAATGTGGCTTTGGATTCCGATTCCACCTGAGGGGATTCCTATTGTTTCCCCGATGTGATCGATGTTGAAGTTGAGACTAAAATCAATTAGGAAAAAGAAGGAAGATGACAATTCGGCTGCCAATTAGAAGATTGGAGGAACTCGTCCATATCATAGATGGGGTAAGAAGAAAATAAGAGATTTTTTTTTTCCAAAAGATATTTCGTATAGAACGAGATAATCAAGATACGGTAGAGTCAGCTGGCCGACCAGATCTAGTAATGAAAATCGAACCCTATCAAACTAGAGAACAATGAAAGAGCTTTCTTGGCCACCATATGGGCCACCCTGTTACGAACACGACCAGCAAAAGAAACGCTAAACTGGTGGAAACATTGTCTCAATAACTTGATCTCGCTCAAAATCGCCCAACCTTAACCTTTGTCGAGCACCACCTGAGCATCTCCAGTGAAAATGACATACTGCATACCCACCTCAAGCGCCCAACGAATCCCATCCCTCAAGGCTAGAAGCTCCAACAAGAAAGGATCTTGGACGTCCGGGTACAAGGAGGCATCAGCACCAAACAACGTTCATGAGGCGTCCTGCATCACCCAACCACGTGCACCAAGGGAACCCGAACGGATGGCCCTATCCGTGAACACTCACACTACCCCCTCCCTAGCCTGCACCCCACCCTGCATTTAGGAGAGTTGATTGAGTTTTTTTTTGGCAGCTGACTGAATTTTTTGTGGGTTGGCATGGATGTCTAGGTGTCTGTTAAGAGATTTTTCAAATATCCTACGAAAATTCAATGGACTATAGCACATTCATTTTAATTAGGATTTCAAATTTTTTTGCATAGAAATTTAATTTTTTTTTTTTGCTCCACAAGATGGTATCCATTTTGTTTTTGATATTTTTTTAGAAAAAAATTAAGATCGTCTTATCACGATATTACCACTGACAGTGATATGATATCATGGTGGTATGATGTTGATATGATAATGATATGATATTGGTATGATGTTGGTATGGTAGTAATATGATGTTGATATGAGGTCTTATATTTAACAAAATAATTCGATGGCATCATCACACATGATATTATCACAATGATAACATGATATGACATTGTTATGATGTTGATACGAGGTCTTATGCTCGACAAAAAATAACAAAATGTGTATATATTAAGAAATGCATTCTTTCTATACAATTTTTGTTTTAATTTTGAGTTGAAGTGTAAGATATGGGTCATCATATCATAATGATATGACAGATATGATAGTGATAATGCTATAATCGACATGTGTTTTGAAGAGTTATGTAGATAATAATTAATGTAGATATAGTAAAACGGATATCATTATGTAAATAATAATTATTGCGTTCTTTCTATGCTAATTTTTTTTAATTTCGTTAAAAAGAATGATATAGGATTCACATAAGAAAAATATGGGAGTAGAAAAGGTAGTATTTGACTGGTCAGCTGTCTCTCCTCTGACTTACACACACGCCGTAAAAAACCCCAGGGGCGCGCGAAATTACCAGTCATCCCCTCTAATTTTTTTTATGCGAATTAATCTAAGGCTATTAGATTGTGATTGTGAATTAATCCATCCCATTATATTGTGAATGAGATCCAAGCTCCCGGGAGGTGGGGGGCTGGAGTAGTGTTTAGTCTGTGGGGAGGAGGTGGAATCTCTTGAGCATCTCTTCTTTCGTTGTTGCATGACGGTTGGGACTGTGGGAAGTCACGGAGCTGGTACGGCGTAGGGATCGCTTTCCCCTAAGAAATATTGACATCTTTTTTGTTTAATTTGCTGGTGTAGATGGACCTTGATCGCAATATTTTGATGAGGATTATGGCTCTCTTTTTAAAGATAGCAGCAACCCCCAACGTACTTGCGTAGAAATGAAGTGTACATTACATGTGCCAACAAGTTGGCCAATACTACAAGTAGTTTCATTTGGCATCTTGTGTTCTAACTTTTCCCAAATTATATATATAGCTCTGTGTTTAATCAGCATAGTGAAGGGTAGAGTTGTGTACGTTACCTGGTACACTGTATCTATACTTACCCAGTCGTCAACTGTCAAGAACTCATTCGAATTATTGGGAGAATATTATGTTGGATCTTATACCGCACTCTAACACGGACAACTTGAACAATCTCACTGTTCTGGTTTGCGAGATGGGTTCATGATTACAGGGGGGAAAAGGATTTATTAGAGCAAAAGTTAAACGTGGTCTCTAGTGGTGTTACTTTTGGATGAGAATGGTGACATAGACAATTATAGCTAGAGCTAGGTAATTAAGTGTATTATTATCATACTTTGTTTTGTTGCGTTTGAGATGGGAAGTGAGAGTAGACCAGTCGCTACCACCAACTCAAATCATTGTTGAGAACTTGGGATGAGAATGATGAACTGTAAAACTATGTATGTATATCCCTTTAGAACAAAGACTAATTTTGTTCTGAAAGTGAGTTATGTACCAAAGCTGGTCCCCGTTTATTCTAGCTAACTCTCCCCCACAATAATAGTCACTTTTATTGAAATACACAAAATAGCTAGAATTTTAAAATTTTTATGATAAATATAGTCATTCTTGTTACAAACTTTAAAGGTGGTAGAAATTCCGTCAGCTAAGTTAATGGTATGCTGACCAGGACGCCAAATCAGCACACACGTCAGCAATAAACAGCCTCGCTTGACACGTGTCAAATTCATTATCGAGTTGGACGAATTTTAATGACGTGTGGCAAAAGGTCAACCATTATATATGACTTTGCTACAATTATATTTATTACTTGATAACAAAATAAGTTGTTCCATCCTTTCCCTCTTCTTCATCCGGAACTATCAATAATTAAAGACGGACTTGCCAAGTCAGCCTTATGTTAGTCTATTCAGCTTGTTAACTCACATCGTTAAAATATTGGAAGGAATTGGCTATTTTGTGTATTTATAAAAAAAAGTGGCTATTATTGTCACAAACGTCAAAGTTTTGGCTATACAGATGTATTTTGCCTAAGCTTATACTGCCACAATGATCTTTTAGGAAAATTACTCTTGGGTTCTTGAATTTTATGACAAACCTGCAGTCTTGTCTTTAGGATAGTTCAGAATAGGGGTGGTCATACGGTCCAGTCCGGTTAAATTGGTCCGAATTGATCCAGTCCAGGTCCGGTATTTTCGAGAATATAAGGTTCAAAGATTGGATTGGATACAGATCGGTCTTGATCCGGTCCGGTCTTGAACCGCTCCGATCCCAATTCGGTCTTGATTTTAGATTGAGCTTGTGGGGATTTGAGTGGCCTGAGGGAGGATTTGAGTGGCCTAAGGCCTGAAAGGGTGAGGAGGTTAAATTTTGGGTGTTGGGCTCTCTTATTTGGTCTTTATCCGGTTTTCGATCAGGTCCCAAACGATTTTTTTATCTCAAATCTAGGCCCGAAGATTGGATTGGATTGTCTACTATCTGATCTCGGACCGTATAACCCGAATCGAGATCGGACCGGGTTATACGGTCCAGTTTCGAGTAAAACCAAAAAACCCGGATCAAATAGTCAGCCTAGTTCAGAATCAGTAACCTAGCTATCAGCCAGGAAAGCTTCTAACGTTTTACTCAAACCATGACCGTAGAGAAGGGAGCGTTAGATATTGTGAGTCATGACCACTTCAAGGCTTGGGAGTATTAAATATTAGGGAACTCCAATTTTCTAAGGTGCATTTTGAGAATACAATGTAGGATACTATTCAAGACTGGATACTATAGGAGCATGATCTTTCCTTGCCTAGTTTGGATGCATAATTTAGATATTGTTTCTTAGGACATAAAACTCTTGAAAGACATCGTTTACAGAATCCAAGACGACAAATTAGACTATCTCGAGCTCATTGATTACCGCTGAGCTAGAAGGTAATTTGGTATACCTCTATTGTTGTTAACCCCATACATCATACATAGTGCACGATATAGAGTCTATGTTTGACCCGAATTTTTTAGAATTGTTTTTATGTTTCAAAATTAAGCAAACACGTCTAAAATTTTAAAAAAATGGGTAATCAAAAATTGCATTAAGACCAACAGATGCATAAATCGCAACCTCCTCTAAAAAAACCTCGATATTTGAATCAGATGAAAAATATTTTTTTATAACATAAAAGTAGAAGCGGCGATTTGGAGTTTAAGCAACTTTTTTTGAAAATACAAGGTTATTTTTATCATTTATTTAGAAAAAATGCTTTTTTATTCATTATATAATTTTAAGAATAAAAAATGAAATTTATTATTTAATATAAGAAATCTAACAAATCCATTTTGAATACTTTTAATTTTTTTGAATTTTGATTTATATTTTATGTTAAAATCATTTGTAGTCATTTTACATGACTTCTTATGTTAACTAGTAATTCTAATAATTATTCAATCAAACACTCAATTGTTTATTTTTTTAGTACTTTATTTTAAAGCACCCGCCGAAAACTATTTTTCCAAAAACTACAACACTGTCAAACTAGCCAAAAGTATACTAGCCAATTCACAACATTGCAAAGATTTTGGTTATATCTGCTATATTTTTCTCGATAGTAAAAGATTATGGCCTTCGATAATTACCAGGAAAAAAAATATATGGTCTAAATCATTGAAATTTCTTTCTATTCCATGCTAATTTTATAGGCTTATCAATATTATATATTATGTGTGTGTGTATAAAAGCTTATCTTGTTTGTTAGATAGTAAAGGAGTTTTGATGGAAGGCACAGACAATTGTTTTGGCATGGGAAATGTGGGCGCATGTTGTCACCAACCTTGCTTTGGTTACGCAACTCATCTTCTTCTTCTTCTTCTTAGTTTGGCAAATAATTCTCAGGGGTTGATTTGTTTGTTCCGTCTCTTCCTGATCCTGCCCCCGTTTGGTTCTCACTAGGGCCCCTCTGCACTTTTGTCTTTTCGTGTTTAAAGGCGCGTTAGTACAATCAACGATAATCTTCTGGTCTCGAAAACTAAATCTCGTTATACTATTGTTTGATTCGAATTCATTGGTGACAACATCAGGATGTAATGATGAACACTGTGTTTGATTTATGTAGCATACATCCTCGTGATTGTTAACCGACCTTCGAATAAAGTTTATGGAAGAAAGTTCACTGGACTGAGAGGGCCTGGATTCTAATGACATGAGCAGAGAGCCCACTCTGAAGGCAGATTATCATGATATGGGCCCAAAATTCATGGATCAGCCCAGTAAGCCAAAGGGCCAAGGTACCCTTTCTTTCTTTCTTCAGTTGCAAGTTTCAACAAGTTGAAAATATGCTGGTTCTGTGTTGGTTGTTTCACTTACGCCTGTATCATCCCGGTTTCAATTTGCTTTCGTCTCTTGAAGTTCTCATCCCCAAGATGCAGATATAACTAATATATATATATATATATATATATATATATATATATATATATATATATATATATATATATATCACCCCTAAACTCAAAAACTCTTGTACTGATCATATGAAGCTCAACGGTTTGTTACACATATCGACAGTAAGAGAGTGGTATAAGATCCAGCATAACTTTCTTCCAACAACTCGAGTTATTGTGATCAACTGGTTCTTGACATGGTATCAGAGCTGATCTGATCAAGTGGTCGTGTGTTCGAATCTCCACAACCTCCAATATCAACAGTCTCTTAAAGCACAAGGTATGATGGGTCTGTGCAAACTTCAAACCTGAATGTCTTTCTCCTTGTTAGGGTTTTGACAGGCCTCGGGTGATTGTGTTAGTTTGTTTCTTGTCCTTCAAGGCACGGGCCAGGGAAGAAATGGTGCAAATTCGCAGGCTTGGTTTTCTCCCATGTGTACTCTCAGACTAATTTGTTTGTGTGGATTGATTGGGTTGCAAGCTGTGGACATATCTCCGAAGAAAGGCCTGGTTCTGATCGAATCTATTGCCCTTGAGCAGACTAGAAAAACAGCCATTGGAACCGAATAAAGAGATGATGAATCCGATTCCAGTAGTCCACTACTTGTCCTTTTCACGAGTGGTGCAAAAAAAAAAAAAAAAAAAAAAGAAGGAAGAACTGCAGAAACTAGGTTCGTTGATTCGTCTCCAACCATCCAATAACATATTCTAGATTATAACCAAAAGCAGAATCGAATATATACACATTACACACCCACCAGCCCACAAGCCCTCCAAAAGAGAAAACAAAAACAAACAATTGAAGAAGAAAAAAAAGGGCACAGAATCAACGAAGCAGCAGCAAAATGCTTGTGTTATGCCCAGCCTTGCTTGTAACGGCGGAAGAGGTCCTCCGTCTGGGCGTTCTTGAAAGCGCAGCAGGCGACGACGTAGACGAAGATGAGCACGACGGCGGCGACGATGAGGAAAGTGCTGGCCTTCCGCCACTCCTTCCTGAGGTTCCCCAGCAGCCCGGCCCTGCAGGAGTTGCAGTTGTAGCAGAGCTGGTTCGGCTCGTTGCTCCAGTTGTAGCAGTCCGGGTCGCCGGTCGGGTTCGCCGGGTTCACCCACGTCGTCGGGCTCACGTAGCTGTACCCGCATACCGTCGGCGGCTTGCAGCAACCCGACTGCACAAAAATTATAACCAACCGGCAAAAACAGAAAGGCAGAGCATTTCAGTAATAAAATTTAGAAAGGGACAAAAGGGAAATGGTGACAGTTCATTTTTTTGGTTTAGTGTAAAGGTTTTTGGAGTTTTCTGGTTCCACTTTGTCGTTTTAGTCTGGAGGTTCCCATGATTTGCGACAATAATTGAGGCGGAGGGTTGTGGAAGTGCCAACCCATTTCGTTTCCTTGCGGGAAGGTGACATTTCATTAGGCTTCTGTTCCCTTAGCCTATTTTGATTGATTAATTATGATGGAGACATCATATTGCTAATGCTACCAACCAACCAATGGTGCTCACATGACTTTGTACAAGTGTATTTATAAGATGTCATGTAGTTAGAAGTTTCATGATGTTCACTAAATAAATAAATGTAGAGCGCCCAACATACGATCGTACGACTTTTGTAAAATAGTTTTTGATAACTCTAAATATAAGCATGAGAACAAAGTCCGCTACAGACTATACTCATTATCGTTATTGAATTGTGTATTTCATAATGTATAGCTACTTACTCACTGTATATCAAGGTTGTCAAAACTAGCATTCTGGCCAACCGATTCAACCTAGTCCAACCAGAACCGATCATCTGAAAGGTTGGAATACACTACTACGGCTTGGATGGTTCTGGGAGAAAGACAAAAAATCATGTTAAACCAATCAAATCGAGTGGCCTGACCAGTCAAACACCGAGTTAACCAATCAAAACTGGGTGTGGAGATGTGGTTTTATAATTTAATAAGATATATTTTCTTTTGAAGAAATTTTTTTCTTATATACAAATGTAAATTAATGAGATTATTTTAAAATATATCAAATATATGTATAATTTATTTGATATTAGAGATTTTCTTTGATATTCTATTAAAACCAGATCGAACCCGATTTGACTATTAAATCTGAAACCACTTGTCAAACCGATTTGCTTATTTAAATCAGTTTGACAACCTTTGCTCACTATCCACTACAAAAGGGAAAATGTTGAAATCTCCCTCGCTATCTTGTTCGTAGATTTGTGGCTAAAGATGGATGTGCCTGCTGCTTAACATTGAAAATGATAAATTCCACCAACAATGGGGTCCCATTTCCCCATCCATGGCTGTCCCCTCCCTGTTCTAATCGCACATTCACTGACTCAACTTTCCTACTGCAGTCTGCAGGACTAGAAAATCTCGTCACCAGGTAAGAAAAAAAAAAAAAAGGAAACCCCCAGAAACAGGGCACAGTGATTATCAAGCATCTTTCTCGAATTGCGCACTAATATGCGCAACCAGTTCATCTCAATAGCTCAAGTTCAATTCGAATTCCTAACTCGAAAAAGATAGAACTAATTACCTGGAGAGGAGAGATGTGGCCGGCGAAGAACTGGTCCGCGGTGAGGTAGCTCCGGGTGAGCCTGGAGCAGACGTCGCTCTCGGCGAGGCAAGCGCGAATCGCGCCCCAATTCTTCGAATCGACGATGTGGCCCTGCAGCCAGGACGAGAATCCTTCGATCCGGTACTCCCTGTACCCGCGGCCGGGGACGGCGTAGCCGCCGTCGGGCCGGGTGACGACGAAGGCGAAGACGAGGAGGGTGAGGAGGAGGGCGATGAGGATGGCCATACAGCAGAGGTAGAAGGCGAGGAGTGTCTCCTTGTACCAGTAGGCGCCGACGAAGCCCGTGAGGGAGACGACGAGGACGAGGAGGCCGAGGAGGACGACCGGCCACCGGACGAAGTGGATGCACTCGTTGTCCGGCTGGGAGGCGAGCCAGATCCCCGATGCGACGATTGGGACGGAGCAGAGGAAGGCGATGAAGTTCAGGACTGCGGTTAGGTTGTTGGATAGCGCCATGGTTCTGAGAGAGAGAGAAGAGGGAGAGAGAGAGAGAGATTTTGACTGTGTGGTTTGCTGGAAATGGGGGGAAAAGCTTTTTGCAGAGAGTGGAAGGGAAGGAAAGGAAAGGGAAGAAGAGGGGAGGGGAAGTTAGTGTGTTTCCTTTTTGACTTCCCCTGTTTTCTTGGTTTTATACTGGAGTGCATGTTCAAAAAGGAAATTTCAAATGATAAAAGATAGAATAGATTTTTCCCCCAAAATTTCAAAGTGGTTAAAGAGTTTCTCACAATATAACACTTATAACAAAAAAAATTGAATATATACAAGTTTGGACTCTAGATTGCTAAAGTGTAGAGCAATATAGGAAATGATTCGTTTGAAGAGAAAACTATTAATAAAACGGTATATGATCACGATTGAACCTCTTCCAACAACTCGAGTTATTGGGATCAACTGGTTCTTGACATGGTATCAGAGCGTACCTGTGCCTGTCCAAACTCCAAGCCTATCTGAATGACTTGAGTTTGAATGGGGGTGTTAATAAAACGGTATATGATCCACGATTGAACCTCTCCCAACAACTCGAGTTATTGGGATCAACTGGTTCTTGACAAAAACATCGTTTGAAGCAATATACCACTAGTGTGTGTATCGATATCATATCTTTTAGATTGGAATTTTATGGCAACCTCGATCGAATCATAATTTAAATCGTTTTGACAACCTCGATATAATTTGTGACGGCAAATAGAAAGTAGAGGACATGTGGCGGGAACGGCGTTATGAAAGCACATGGGGGCACTTCGTCTGTAGCAAGCAATGCAACGTGGGGTTTCTAGTTAACCGGAGAATAGAATATATCGGTATAAAATTACAGATGATACTACGATCGAGCTATTGTCCTCCTCCGCCGCCCACATCGATCTTCTCTACGTTCTGCTTGGTTTCGCGCATCCATGCAACCGCCCCCGTGCGCCGGCATCCAACGTTCTTCGTCATGGTCGGTCGTCTCGTCTATGGATTTAGCATCCGCGGTTATATATTTTCGGCTCTTGAACCTTGAGTCGTCGTGCACAGATGCTTCGTTCAAAAGACATTTATTTTGCATTTGCCTTTGGCTTCTGCAAAATCTTGATTGATTCCAATCCACCCCGTTGTTCAAGATGCTACGCAAAAAAGGGGACGAGTTTACTCGTGGATAATTCCAACGGGGTTTTGGAACGTCAAACCCAATTCAATTCATTGGGCATCCGCGGGTTCATAGATACCCATGAGTTCTTATGGTAAAAAATGCATAACATCGATCACTTGTCAAAATAAAAGTTTAACACCAATATTCCTAAACAAATTATTCATACAAAAAACACCAATTTAGTAAGCAAAACGCACAAATTATCCATACAAATTGTTGAATATATTAAAGATAAACATTCACGAACAACAAAGGTTAATGGACGGATTGTAGGAGTATGGTGGGCCGCGTTATCTATGGATCGGATATACTTAAACCCGAATCCAACCCAACCCGTCGAATAGTGCAACAGGTTTCACCCCAAAACTCGGTTTGCAATCCGTTAACATTGAATTTTACCTGCTTTGACGGATTGAGCCAGATAGAATACCCATGGATCCGGATTTTGTTGCCATCACTACTTACTGTTCACTTCAGATAAGTGAGCTTATAATTTAAGAATAATATAATCAAATAAGATGTATCTCACCAAAGCTATTAGTACTCTATTGGTACCAATATGAGTTATTTTTATATTATTAATAAAACCTTTTTCGCCGAGAAAATGAATTACACTAAACTAACAAGTAAAACAAGCTAACGAACTAAAGCATTATTCCAAGCTCAAGTTCAATAATGAGAAAAGTGTTGCTCAGGTTTGAATACCCCTAGCCAGTTATTAAGATCAACCACAACATAGTTCCGATGTCATTTTTTCACCATAGAAATTCCCAAATTAGTGTTACCCCATTTTCTCATGTATAAACATTCTAAAACCAATTACTTTATATCGATATTCTTATTGTCCTAAAGCTTACCAGTTAATGCGTTAAAACGATCTGTGCTTGACTGGAATTTAGTCATCACAGTCAGCAGAAAATTCCAGTAAACAGAGTCGAAAGCCTTCATAAGGTTAACTTTTATTATTGTCCTAAAGCTTACCCGCTTTGTAGTGACTTCTTGTGTGGGAGTTCATGATGAGGGTAAGAGGAAAGCTTCTATAACATGGAGTGGTCTAAGCTCACCAAAAAATGAAGGAGGGTTGGGGATTAGACATATATGGGAACTATTTAGGCCTAAAGCTGTTGAGGTTTCCTGGTTCAAACTGATATGGAAGGAACCTGTTATCAGAAGTAATAAATTCCTCTGTTGGCAAATTGTGAAAGGGATCATCACAACTTGTGATAAGTTGTTAACCTAAGGCTATCAGGGTGCTTTTCAACTGTGTCTATTGCAGCTGTACTGTCGACACTACAAAAAAGAGGAGGTTTGGGGACGACAAAAGTCATCCCTGAAAATAGGAAAAATCGTCCCTATAGTTTTTGGGGATGACTTAGTCGTCCCCAAAGAGTGGTTCCCTATACTCTTGTCCTCTATTCTTTTGGGGACGACAAAAATCTAGGTCGTCCCCATTACTAGGGACGACAGTCGTCCCCGATACTCGCAAGTCGTCGTCTCGTTTCTTGTCCATGAAAGACAAAATTTCGTCCCCATAGCTATAACTTTAGCGACAATAAGTCGCCCCCTAAACATCATTTCTAGGGACAACATGTTGTCCCACATAATCGATTTCATAATTGCGTTGGGACAATATGGGGATAAAATATCGTCCCATTTTATTTTTATAGGGTTGACATGTCGTTCCCATAGGTATCAAATTGGAGTCCAAAAATCGTCCCCATAAGCTTTATTCAAGGACTATGAGTGGTCTCTTATTCTATATCTTTAGAGACGACAAGTTGTCGCTTATGACTTTTAGGGACAAACAATTGTCCCTTAACTTGTGTATTGGGGGACAAGGAATTGTGACTAATGCACATTCTGGGAACGACTAATTATCTCCTACGTAACTCGTATGAACGACTTGTTGTCCTTTAGCATGTGTCTTTTGAGATGACTAATTGTCACCGATATGACTGTATCACTTGTGGGGACGACCAATTGTCCTTTACCCTGTATTTCCGGGGACATCTAATTGTCACTTATTAAATTGTAGGGACGATCATATGCCCCTTAATCAATATCGTAAGGAACAACAAATTGTTACCTATGTAAGTTCTAGGAGACTATCAACGAAGGGTTACCTTGTAAACTCCAAGTGAACCATTGGAACAATCTAAGGACATTTCTCAATATAAAAAATGTGTCATTGAATCATCATCATAAATAAATTGAAGCAAATTTACTATAATATCATCACAATCCCATAATAAGAATACCAAGATTCAACATTTGATAGACTAAACATCTTTAGCAAAACAATAAATAGTATCAACTAAAAGACGAGTTAGAAAAATCTATAAAGTATGCTAGCTGTTATCTCCTATTATAAACGTACTATAATATATCTTCGCAATACCACAACTCGATTTCACCAACCCGCATCTTCTCTTATCTCCTGAAATATAATAAAATTCAAAAGTTAATCTTCTAAGCAACATTAATTGGATCAGAATAAAAAAATACAGTATTATTAAAAATACAAGAGACACAACTTTATACAACTAAAAAATAAAATACTGTGTATTGAATTATTGGGGTGATCTCTTTCTCATACTCTCTGGTGCCTCCTTTCGTTCACCGCTTGAAATTCCTAATTCAATTAGAATTAGGGTTAATTATTTCTTGAATACGGGTAAGTTGTTAGTTAGCAGGGGTTAATTAGGGTTTCACTATATTGAATCATTTTTGCTTTTCACTTTGGAATAGAGAGAGCTAATAAGGTTCAACTTACCTTTCTGAAAATATAGAGAAGAATTAAGGGATTCAATTGATTTCTTTCTTCTCGTTGTGAAAAATATAAAGAGAATCAAAGATTTAGAGGGGGGGACTTCGTACCTAGCCGCTAAGACGAAATTTCAGAGCTCCACCTCGCTGCGCCGCTTCAAACAATCGAAGGCTCTGGGATTTTGTTAAGGAATCTTTCTGAAGAAAACGGCAGGAACGGAAGGAGAGCAGGAGGCTGTGAGGTAACTCCGCGGCATCTTGTATACCAAAGAAGCAAAAAAAAGCTGACCGTAATTGAGAGCGAGTGAAATTGCTTACTTGATCACGGAGGAAAAATCCTTTCCGGGAAGAAAATTTTGTGGAGAAGAGGGTTTGTGTGTCTAGGGCTCTAGGCTATCTCTATAAAGGAAAACCCAAAACCTAAATGCCATTATTTCCTTTTTTTTTTTGGTTGATAAAATTCAAAACTCTTTACCCCAAAATTTGGTTTGCCCGCCGCCGAAACTAAAAAATGTTGGCTAAGCCAAGCCGCCAAACCATAAAAATTTCGTTAACCCTGCCTGGCGCTGCCCAAAGCCTATCAAATTAGAGAATAATTATTAAGGATGACCTTTAAAAAGTGGAGAACCATAGATTCGTTAATACTTAGAGTTCGTTTGCTTCATGAATTTGTATTAAGAATTTGTATAAAAAATCTAACCATCAAGGATTTGGTAACAATTATTTGTTTGTTTGGCCAATAAATTTGGAGACAAATATGTGGAGGTAAAAAATGTAATTTCAAAATATAGTATCTAATTTGTAAGAGTTGTAATATGGAGTGCCGTGATGATGATGCGAGTTCAATCTCGACATCTTTTCTTGCATCACTCTCCTAAACATAATAATTATTGTTTAAAGAGACGTCAAGCTATTGTTATTAAGTGATTAATTACTAAGTTAGTTAGACAAATGTATGTCTATTTTCATTACTAATACATTATACCATGTTAATTTATGTAAAATTCTTATAATGAATTATATATTTCTTCTAAATATCTCGGTGCGCGCAAAGCATTGACGAATTAACTAGTATAATATAAAAGAGTAATAAGGTAAATTAGTTTCTTAAGTTATAAATCTCAAACTCTGAAATCTATAACCAATTGAACAAACAAAGAATGGTTTCAAATCCATAATGTCTCAAATCTCTAATAAATTTTCGTTCTCGTGATTTTGAAGTAGGCTGGTATAAACTTGTCTAAGGTAAGAGTTGTATTCCTCGGTTCAGGTACATTTTTCCTGGATGGTTATTCTGGGCATAGTTAGTAAATACTCCGTTTAATACACGTATATGTACCCGTATGTATTTTATCCTTTTAAAACTTCTGTATCCGTATTATTGTCAAGCCGTTTCATTTTTTCCCCTTCATTTGATGTCTCCCGTATTGAAGACGTATAAAACCTGTATAACACGTTTAATATGCGTACTTAATGAATTAAATTGTTAATTTTAGGGTAAATACAATTTAATATCTAAACCTTTTATTTTAAACAATATAATAGCCAAACCTTTTCGAAAACAATCTAATATCCAAATCGTCAACTTTTTGTCTATTTGACCGTTAGTTGACACTTCAAAAAAGTTCGAAGTACGACACTTCATCAATATCCATCGATATCTTCTCTGAAAAACCACCAACATATCGTAGTTCCAAACCCGAGAAGTCCATGACTCCACCATGATGGTATAGAATATCTAAATATTCAGTCATCTGAAATGCCAAAACAAGAAACAAAGTTGTATTGTGACAATTTCCCCTAAACAAAGCTTTTTTGAAGTGTCAACTAACGGTCAAACGAACGGAAAGTTGACGATTTGGATATTAGATTGTTTTCGAAAAGGTTTGGCTATTATATTGTTTAAAATGAAAGGTTTGGATATTAAATTGTATTTACCCTTAATTTTAATATTATTTATATATTTATATTATTTTTCAATTAAAATCATTAATTTTGTATATTTATGACTATTAACGTACTGTTAAACATAACATTAAATTAAAAACGAAGTAAAATATCCGTACATATTTTATACGTAACATTCCCATACCTTGTTTTACTAACTATGATTATGGGCGCAATCACAACTACAACACATCAGCTACATTACGGTAAAATAATTTTTAACTCTTGTGTGACTTGTGAAAGAAAAGACAAGATGAAACAGTAAGATGACAACTTTGATATTTTAAAACTACGTTTAACAATTTGTAAGACCACGTTGATCAATTTTGTAACTCCAATGAACTTGTGCGCCAAATTCATTTTTTCTGTGAAAAAAAGGGTGTGCACTCTTTTATTCTTTGGGGGGAAATTCCTGCCCCAATTAACTTGCGCGTCCATCCATGTAGCCATTAATAAAAAAATCTTCAAATAACAATAGAAATATCCTACTGTAATCCTTTATCATTTGTTTATAATCAATCCTTTATCATTTTTTATGATGGAGAATCCACCGTAATCTTTTACTTCCCCCAAACTTCTTTTTTGGGGACAACTAAAAAGCTCTAAATTTAATTAAATATCAATTATGTATTTTAAGGGGACCGTATTATATAACTGTCCCCGTTATTACTTAAAATAATATTTTCTAAGACAAATTAAGATAGTCGTGCCCTATTTTTGTCCTCAATGCTTCTCAATTTTGTAGTGCGAGACTTGTGACCACCTGTTCTCGCAATGCACCCGATAATACAAGGAATTATATTTGTGTTTCTTTAGCAAGTTCACCAGCAGAACCCATTCTAACAGGTGGGAATCTAAACTTCAGTGGGCTGTTTCATCATTTTCTGGCTCTGCACTCCACACAAAAGCGTGCAGGCTTCTCTGGCAAATTCTGGTCAGTGGCATTTTGGAGGGATAGATGTGCTATCCGTCTTGGGAAGAAGATTCCTCAGGTTGATGCAGTAGTTAACAAGGCCAAAGAGGACCTTGTTGTGCTGTGTACCTCTTCTGAAATTGCTGTCTTTTTGTAGTAAAAGTTCTTTCTCCCTTTCTTGGCTCCTACACTATAGATAGTTGATAGTTTATTTTCTAATCAGATTTTTCTCTAGTGGCTAGGGTTGTGGCCGCAAGTCTACCTTCGGGTTGTTTTGATGAAATAGAAGAACTTTCGTTCATAAAAAATAATAATAATTACAATACGTAAACGACAATGCGTTTAGGTAGATCAAGAATAAGGTGCGATTTTTAACATGCATCTAATATTAGAGACTGTCTCAGAAGACTTATTTATTGATTAAAAGGATTATTCAACCAACCATAAAACTAATAAACCATAATGAATACTTAGTATGATTTTTTATTTTGTAATTTCAGAAGTAAATCACAATTAATTCTGAGAAAGCATAGGAATTGACGTCCATAAAAAGAAATGTGTATAGTTAATTCTTTCGGTCGTGTTTAATGTTAATGTTGAGAATATGGCGAAAGTAGAATAATAATAAGAGGAATTGTGTGTCATCATGAGTTATGATAAAATTGAGTGAGAAAAAAATATGAAAAAATATTGGTCGTAAGGTTGCAAGGATGAATTTTGCAAAAAAGGAACAAAAGGTAAGAAACAAAAATATGTAAAGGCCGGCGTAGTATGATTTTGTCATATCCTCTTGAATGAAATTCCTCGAACAATCCATAGAATTCTATAAAAACAATTCTTGAAAACCATAAGAAATTTATGTTGAACTAATTTTTAATGCATTGTTAATTTTATTTTTTTTAGAGATATTGCGTTGTTAAATTTTGTCCTACAACAACTGAAAATCATAACTAACCATGTTTTCAGTCTTGGATTTCACTTATGAAAAGACAAAACAAAAATTGGGGGAAAAAATAACTAATAGGGTGTTAGATATAGAACAAATACGCACACAATACAACCTAACACCTATATAATTTAGTTTCCTAATATCCCAACAAAAACTCACCCGCTCTTCCACTTCCAACCATGGTTGTTATGTCGGTGGTAGGTCGATTGATACTCGGCAGAATTAGGTCCAATTGGTGTTGTTATAAAACGGATTGGATTGTCTTTGATATGATTGACATGATTTGTTTTCGGTCTCTAAATAAGATAATATCATTTTGATAAATTTAATTGGTAAAAAAAATTAAATTTGTTTCTTGAATTTGAAAGTAAAATATTCACATTATTTGCTGAATTCAAGTATAAATGTTTAGTTGTTTATGTTATTTGTTAAATGCTTAAATTTAAGTATAAACTTTTGAATATTGGTTTAAAAAACTGGAGTTGTGTTTTAGTTCTTGTGAAAAAACTCAAAAAAGACTTGGGCTTTTAGTCCCACTCCTGTCCTTATTTCTTTCACATCCCGCTCTGGCTCCAGTAATCAGGATTTTCGCGTTCCCGCGTTTTCTCGCTCGACGCGGGGTCAGTTGCAGTACCGTACCTGTTGCAAGCATTGGTAGGCGGCAACTGAGGAAGGCACGAAACATGGAGCAATGGGTTCCGCTCTTCGACATTTTCCTCAACTCCCCAACTCCAGAGATCGAAGCTTCTCTATGGCTTCACCGATCCTTCAACGTTTCTTCCTCCCTCCCAATCTCCGCCGCCTCCTTCCTCTCCTTACTCACTCAAACTGTCGACTCCGTTGCTGGTGAATTTGACTCCTCGCCTCCCAAGACCACCAAAAGCAGGTAGCTTTTGAGAGCTCTATCGATATGTCGATTTGATTTTTGGGTTTAGCTCCATCTTTTACGGTTTTCTTTGTTGGAACTTTCACGACAGGGTCATGTTCATACGGACGCTACCCAGTATGGTCCAGGCTAGAATTTTAGCGTTTCTTTCTGTTGAGCAGGAGAGATTTTGCAGTGTGGACTTGAATAGATTGTGCAGGCGCGTGTTGGATGAGGGTTGTGGTGTTGATTTCTGGGTCCAGAGCGCTGCCCGCGACCTGCTCGATAAATTGTCTGACTCAGGTCGCCAATGGGTTCCTGATTTGGTTTTGGGTTCTGATGAATCAAGAGTCGAGATAGAGTTTAAGTCACTGCCGGGTTGGCTCAAGGATGCTGCGGCTGTGGCTACTGATGAAGGAGTTCTTCCATGGCTTCCTCTTTCCCATGATGAATTGAATTCAAGAGATTTGATTTCTAGTCGTGACACTGAACAGCAACAACCTTCACTCACTCAAGTTGGGGAGAATGAACTGTATAACTGGAAAGATGTTACTGAAGGGATGGATATTGATCATTCAGAGAATGATGTTCTGGATCCAGAGATGCAAAACATGGCAGCAAGGTTGAGAACTCGGCTCATGAATGTCGACTCTGGTTCCAAAACTGTTGAATTGGCCGAAGAAATCCGCCAACTTTTTGTAGATAGTAAAGCTGATTCTCTTGCAGTCTTGGGTTTGATTGAACCTTGGAAAGTGGATGATGAAAGTGCAGCAGTTTTGGCTACCCATCTTCTTAGTGGAAGTGACGAGGAGCTTGCTTGGCCTAGCCACGTCATATCTTCGGTAATCCTTCCCAAGCTGTTGGCTCTAGAAAGACCAGCTTCTCGTGTACTGATCTCTGCAGTTATGAATTTCTGTAAGCTTCATGAGCGAGCTGCTGAATACGGACTACTGATTCCACTCTTAATGAGAAAGGATGGCATCAACAATCCTATATGTGAAGTGATCACAAGGATTGTCAAGGAATGCTTGCATAGAGCTCATGTATCCGCATTATGCCAGAAGCTCTTCTGTGGAAAAGAAGGCGAGAGAAAACCTATCTGCCAGCCTTGCCACCAGTGTCTTATATCTAGAGAATTGGTGTGGACTGAATCATTGTTCAGTCTAATACAGAACATAATGAGTCATAACGTTCAGTTGACTCAGGACACTGTAGATCAACTTGTTCACCAGGTTCATAACTTGGCTCCGAGATTCTCCAAGTCCCTGAAATTTGGACACTTTCTGTTGTGTCTCACCAAGAAATTTGGTTCATTATTGCATTCTCATAAGCCATTATTGACTGAATCGGTAGCACAAACCAATACCCTTGTGACAAAATCTATATTGTCAAAGCTGGAAAGCTTGTAGCCGAAGAATATTTTATCTTACTTCCTCGTTTTGTTTCCATGGTCAGATTTCTTCATGGTATTTAGCAGAATCACGTTATTGAGTATATGAAGTGGAGATTTTTCTTACATCAGATACTTTCTGATGGAACGGAATCACAGAGCCAGACAACTCTTCAGTTCACTTTTCCATCAGGCTTCCTCTTACATAAATGAGGGTTTAATTGGGAAAGTAAAGCAGCAGTAAAAACAGAAAATGAAGCAAGCAAGCAAACAGTTATTTAAGACATAGAAAGGGGCAGTCTTAGGCATGGAACCCATTGCTCCCCTTAGCAAGTTCCTTCATGGTCTCAAATCTCGTTCCCTTGTCTGTGAATTTTGTGGCAGAATAGAGCTGAAGATAATCACCAAAAGTATATGAGAGGGGGTAGAGAAGCTTCGAAGCTGGAGTTATGACTGCATCACCAGCTGGATTATAGAACGTGGCTATGGAGAGCCTGCTTCCGTTCTTGTCAGTCATGACTCGATGCAGAGTACTTTTGTATCTTCCATTGCTCAAGACCTCCACCTGATCACCTATATTCACAAAAATGGTGTTGTTCCTGGATGGAGGAATCTGGAACCACTCCCCATTTTTCAGGAACTCGAGCCCTGGGACTTGATCGTCCTGAAGCAGGAGTATGATCCCACCGGCATCAGTGTGCTCTCGGAGCCCCCTCACAAGTTCTGGCTCTGGACATTTTGGGTATTTAGCAACTTTTGTTCCCACAGCAGGACCCTCTTTCCCAGAGAAAGCATCCTTGATGAAACTTTCATCTAATCCCAGATTCTCGCACATGAGGTTGGCGAGTTTCTCTGCTAGCTTTATCATTTCAGCAATGTACTCATCGATGGTTTTGCTGCCATTAACGTAGCAAATGCATGTAAACGTTAGTCAGAGCATCCCAGAGATAATAAGAGGCAGAATCTTGAGTTGCTTTCGTATGAGGAAGGCACTCACCTTAAACCCTGAGGCAGGTTTGGGATTTGATGGATGTTAGAGGTTGGACGGTGCCTGATGAAGAAGCTGCTTTCCCAATCCACATCAGATGGGTTTTCTTTGTTATTCAGCTTCTTGGCTGTCCCTGATTGATAGAAGCTCTCTTTCAGGTTTTCCTCGTAGTGTTGATCAACCAACTGCTTCACTTTCTCCATCAACTTGCTATCAATCCCGTAGTTTCGAATCTGCAGCAAGACATAAAAAAAGCCCTGTCAATGTCATTATGGGATCCTGTCACCTGATTGCATGAGAGTGGATACAAGCTTCCCTCACAAATTACCTGAAAGAAGCCCCAGTTCTCACAAGCATCGTGCAGAATCTCCATGGCCTTGCTCCTGTTCTCACCCTCAAGCTCACTGAAATCAATGGTGGGGATCTCCATAGTTTGCTCAGGCACTGTCCTCCTCTTCTGCAACTGTGAAAGTAAGTGACTTTTGTAGTTTTGAGCTGGGGAGAGTTTATATAAGCCAAGGGTCAGGGGTGGCCTTTGGAAAAGTTTAGACTAATAGTATTATTATATTACCCTAAATGTAGTTAACCTTAGGAAGCGTCAGGCAGTTAATACTAGACAGTAAACTGAACTCTCTGGATTTGTCCCCTGAAAACAGAATTAAATGCGAAAGAGTAATCCAAGTTCAGCGTATAGTTCCCACATAATCTGGTCAGGAAGATCTCATTTATTTTAATAATCTCAGATCAACAGTCAATGTGTGTGGATTTGTGCATAAGTTCAGTGCCCAAAAAAGGTAAACAAGGTCAATCAACCGCCCCTTGTAATTCTCACCCCATTATAACTGAATCTGGTTCTTTCTTCTTTCTCATATTATTAATCTTCATCAACTAGAATGGGAATTCTTATATATATATGTCAACTTGCTGCATGATTGAGTAACTTTATTATTTCTGTGAGCATCTCGAGTTTCATTGTCTTTGAGAAAACTGTGGAGTGGGAATGGGGTTGGATTCAGATTTGGATCTCACGGTTCCCTGCCTGTGGGGGAGTTATGGTACTGTTTGCTCTGTCGCTTGGTTTTCAGCTGAGAGAGGTATGGAGGAGAAGGATGGCTGCTGCATGCAGAGATTCCTGAAGAAAGAACTTGTCAGTTTGTCATTTGAGTATGAGCTGGATTTGAACTATGTTCCATGGATGATTTTACAACTTCGTAGTTAATTATGTTTTCTATCCAGCCGGAACTTGGATGCATGGTCTGTCTCATACCACTTCTGTAAAGAATAGAATAAGTGTACACTCCGAGACTGTGCTTTCCTCAGCTGCAGGAGTATGCCTCTTCACACTTTCCCCTGCATTGGTTCATATAGAAGGAGAAATGAAGTAAACCAAATGTGGAGGGCTGAGACCTGTAGCATTGAAAATGCCTAAAGTTGGGCCTCTTGGACTGATGTCCATGAAATTGGAATTATTTACAAAAGAACCATCATCAACCAATCTGCACCTATACTTTAGTTTCGTCTGTCCTCGACAAGTTATGGCGTGGATTCACTATATGCACCGAATCCTTATGGCCAACGATATAATTAAGGTGACGAGATAGTCTAACGGTAAAGCAGCCGCGACAGTGAAGATTTGAGAGTTGTAAATTTCAGGTTCGAATTCAAGTGAGGTTCGTTGGTGTTCCCGAAGGTATAAGGCTGTTGGGGGCGAAGCCTCATTGGCTTCGAATCGAATGCAGGTGGCCCCCAGGTTTAGTAGGACCCGTTGTCACAAAGTGACACGTGAGGCTGAGGTTCCTTCGTATCCAGGAGTGGGGAACAAAAAGGCAGAACGGGTGGCTAAAAGAAGCTATCAAAAGATCGTGGCTTGCTTTGAGAGGATCCATATTCTCGATATCGTTCCTCATCTGCTGTAACCGACCTTACTTGTATCGTTGCACTTCTCTCGTTACTAGTGATGGAAATTTGAACCCGTTCTGTGGATATTACCCGTCTTAACCTGCGATGGGGCGGTTATTACCCGACCCGCACTGTCACGCCCCGTTCTTGGCCCTTTCTATAAAAATTTCTTAACGTTCTTATACATATTTCTCCTATTTTGACTTTTCTTCAACTAGTTAGAGTCGATCTTCCAACTAGTTAGACTCAATTACTCATCTATTATCACTATTCTCATTTATAAAGTGTTTTCCACTTCGTTTTATTGTAAAAAGTAAAATATGTGTGTATGTTTTCCAAATAATATGTAAGAGTGGGTCGACCTGCCCCGTCTCGTCTCATACCCAAGCGGGTTTTACCCGTCATAACCTGCAGTAGTGTGAAGCGGGGCATGAGTATTAAGATACCTGCTCCGTCACGCCCCATTGCCAATTTGCCATCACTACTCGTTACAGTGAAATATATTTTTATTGTAACAATTTCTTTTTATATCCTCTGTTTGACAATGTTCTAGAAAACTAAAAAAGTACAATTTGAAGGTATTCAAATAAAATATTTCAAACATATCTAGGGGTGTGCAATAGTGCAGTTCGTACTCGATCGCACTGGACCAAACATGCATTTGGACTTGACCATACCGAACCTAGGGGTGGGCAATGGGTGGATTTTGGTCTCAAATTGACCCACCCGCTTACTACGAGTTGGTATAGTTGTAACCCGTTATCCACCCAGATTGTTCTGCGGGTCGGATTGGGTGGGTGGCGGATGGGTGTGATTGGGTCGTGGTTAACCCATAAAAGCAATTCTCCAACTATCCATTAAGAAAGGTGACTAACATTTATAATAAGTTCATAGCAAATTAGTAAGACTGTATCAATATAGACACGTCCCACTTTGTCTCATGTGAATCCATGTAGTATTTGTATAAAAAATTTCATTACTCAATCAATCAATTGTGTAGAGAAAACTAATGCATTTTACGATTTTGATACAATTAATAATTTATAGTTTGCATTCCAGTATCTAATGAATTTTACACAACACAATAACCAATAATAATAGTAAAAAACTATTATTTATTCTCCATCTTTAAAAGTAGTTAGTCAGAATACTGAAGAGAACATAAACCGAATTGATATCTGGACCGAACCAAATGGACCGAATGCAATGATTGTCTGATCCTTAATTCTAAGATATCTTTCACTAATATACCGCGGCTCTCATGATTTCGATTCGGTACCGAACCATTTCACATCCCTCAACACATCTATTTCTGTTTGAGTCCAACTGAGGGTAGGAGGTGAACTCGGAAAAGAGGGTGAGAAGAGTAACAACAAGAGGTCTAGAAAGGAGGTGTTCTTAGAGAGAGAGAAAGTAGTTGTTCGTAAGACTAGTCAGAGAGTGAAAAATGCGATCTCATCACCCACCGGAGTAAATGCCGTATTTATAGACTACATGGTGGTGGGTGAGTTACATGGTGACAAGACTGCTATCATGTCAGAACTTTCGGCCATCCTCCTACCTAGTACTAGGGGACTTGTCCATCATTGTACCTAGTACTCTGATGTGACCACTCTTCGGGGGATAGGGTGTCGTTTTCGAGGCAGGCTAGGTCTGGTCAACTTTCGGCTGAAACGTCGTCGTTCGGTCGTTTGGAGTTCATGTCCGCGCATGAGGCCTCCAGGCGCTCAAGCTTCTCGCGTATGCGCGGCTTTGGATACGCCTTTGCAAGCGCGGCATCGCGCTGGCTTTTTGGCGCGCCTGGACCCGAGCCATATGCCCAACAATTTCAAATCCTTAAATAGAAATACGCAAAACTCCTTTAAACACATAATACTAGTCATCATCACCCATCGCACTCCATGAACCGACGGATTAGAGATAATTTCTATCTTATAGTAAAGTTTCAAAACGGTAATTTGGATTTCACTAACCATCATTATTGCACCTTTTAAAAACTGGGGAGTTGGAAACAAACCAAGATTAAGCCACAGCAGTAAAGCACAATCAAGATCTACAAGATCCCCAAGAGAATTTCCAACTTCTTTGCTAATAACACTGACTTTTCTTTCTGCCCTGCAGATCAACTAACTTTGATGGTCAAGCCAAACCTCCCCAACAAGAAGTAATTAATTCCACCAGCGTTTTCCCCTCTCTTTCAAGAAAAGGGAAAAGAATGGCTTGGTTTCTTCCTTACCCTAACTCTTTACGTAACGAAAGAAAATACCTCAAAAAACAGAAGGATACTTCCTCTCAAGCTGAAGTCATGGCGACCTCTGCCTTTTCCAAAGTAACTCAACCACAACTGCAACTCGTGCTGCACAAAGCCCGGAGGGGTTAGTGACTCGGTTGGGGATGGAAATGGATACATCATACATGTGGGAACGATTTTGCTATGTATCATATTCGAATCACGATTTTAGATAGTAACAATTTTGGTAACTAGAAGTTTTTGTGGGTTTATAATATGACATATATTAAGTTCTTGAGATGAAGATTTTGATTGGTTCTTTTCTAAGATATTGCATTTTGATAAGTGAAAGAGAATGTGCAATGACTTTTGAGTGATATGAATGCTCTAAATGATGAAGTGAGGGGATTAAGATCATATATGTAGCATATGGTCGATTGATTTTGGTACGTGTACTTAAAATATAATTAGCTTTATTATGGGGTTTTGGAAAATTCCACCAAAATTTCATGCCGTTTGGAATTTTTTGAATAAAATTGGTTCGAATTCGGCTAGGTTCCTCTTCAAACCATAAATGATTAGTTGTAATTGTAAATGAAATGCATATACCGTAATGTTAAACAAATGTCGACGATTTAAATTTAAAAATTGAATATAGATATATCTTTAATAGGGACACATTTCGAAATCGAGCATACATTTTAAACACCACCTCTAGGGATGCGAATGAGTTAGTTGGGTTGGGTCGAGTTTCTCCAAACTCAACTCAGTGAGTACATCCACACATAAAAAAAAATTCAATAAAATACCTACTAGGGTATGATAGAGAAACCCAACCCAACCCAACCCAACGAGTACCCACGAGAATATGGATATCCATGAGTTCACAGAGCAAATAATTTATCTAAACATACATCTTTGTATTGTCAAAAAAAATTGTACAACTACATTGCTAGAAAGATTAATAACATCCATCTTATTAGGGTTAGATATGGAATGATGTCGTTCTAATTTTCGGGTGTGGGTCAGATTTTGATAAAACCTGTATCCAATTCATGATTTCAAAAGATGAGTAAACTCACACCTGACTCAAAACTTGTCAGCCCTAAATTTTATTTGATTTGATCGGATCAAACCGAATTAAATACCTCTAGTATGAGTTCAATTGTCATCCCTAATTGACACAAGTTATCATAATACCATTAGAAAATATAGGAATTAAAATGCAATTAACTCTTGACTAAATTAAATGTAGAAGGTTGATAAAAAATAAAAATAAATGTAGAAGTGCTTTATGTAAAAAAAATAAAAATAATTAGAAATAATTGATAATCCAAAATTGTTTGTCCCTTTACGGCTTTACCCCTCTCCTCACTTCCCCGTCCTCACAAACCGGAGGGTCGAGCGAGCAAACGAAAATATGCTTTTTTTCGCTTTCTTCTTCTTTTCTTTTCTTCCTCTTGCCACTTGAGCGCCAGCACTGTAAACTCGGGAACGGTCGGCGTTTGTTTCAGTCGCAGAACCACTTTCCGCTGGCTCACTGCCTTCCCTCCCGCCTCTCCATTGATCTCCGAGACTGTTCTCTCTCCGTCTCTCTCTGTGTGTGAACGGAGACTGCAATGAGATTACTCTTAGCTCCGGCTCTCTTCTTCTGTGCTCTCCTCGTCTGCTTTCCGGCCACTGAATCAGCCAATGGAGATTCCAACTCCACCGCGGAGGTAAATGCAACCCTGGATTCCAACTCCACGAAACTCAGATCCAGGGAGGACACCTTCGCCTTCATGATCGATCGCGCACTGGAGAAGGAGTTCAATGAGACGGACCAGGGTGAAGGTCTGTTAACCTGGATCCGAGCTCATTCATAGGAGAGCTGCATTTTTTTCTCTGTTTTGCTTTTTCTCTAATTCTTGAAGCAATAGGGCTTTTCAGCAATGGCGGGTGAGGTTTCAATTGCCAAATCCTGCCAATTCAGCAGCTAATCCGTGTTTTTCTTTTCTTTCTTCAATTACTCCATTGCATTTTCTTGAAAAGTTTTGATTCTGGGAGTCTGGGATGCGCTGTTGGTTTAAGCTTCTGGTTGATTGAATATCGTCTTCACTCTGATTCGACCTAAATACTTGTGGAAAAAGTGTTCTGTTGCTCGAATTTGAAATCACAAAAGCTTTGAGTATCCGACATACTCAGCTCTTTGCGTTTTCATTTGCAGCCACTGATCCCGGCAGCTTCAATAACAGTGTTGCTGGACAGCAGGTTGGTAACATTTTTTGCTTTCCGGTGGTGTAACTCATAGAGGTTTCTCTAAGTTGTTGCTTATGCTGTATATGTTTATGGGCACCGTATATCACAACAGTGTGCTCACTTGGTTCTTGAGATTTAGGCAGACTGTACTAGAATAAGCTGGAAGCTATTGTAGTAGGAACCCACACTAGAACTATCACCATATTGGAATAAAATGTGAATTCCTCTAACGTAGTAGAATGTTAAGATGCTGATGACTAATTGCAGTTCAAGTTCAACACTGGGCTTTAATTGATGGTCTTGTACCTGTTGCTGTGGCTCCAAGTAAAGACCTGGGTGGTTGTAGGCGTACAATTAAAAAAAGTGTAGTACTTTTGATTCGATTGTATTAGGAGTTCGGTGAGTGTGGGCACGTATCCAAATATGTCAACTTTGACGGGGGTGGTAGAAACAAATTTGTAGTTGTGAATGCTGGCCATGGTTGTAGTCATAATTGCATTAGATTTCTCATTGTGGACTACTGTCTCCTTGTTAACTGGTGCTTAATTGGAAATGTTTCATTGCGCTAGGCAGTTTTGGAGACTGTTGCCAGGGTCACAACCAAGAAGAATGAATCCAAGGAAGAGAAGTATGTGTTCATTTTGCTGCATATATTTTCCTTCTTCTGGAAATTTCTGTTACAGTTGAACTAGTTTTACTAGCAGATCTGACAACTGCCAACTCCCCTGTGAAATATGCCAGGTCCTTTCAGTTTCATAGTGTTTTCAATTTTGACAATGATAACCGAGGGGAAGATGCTCCAAGATTGATTGATAAAAAGGTACAATCAATATATGTCTTTCATTTCAAAATGTAAACATTTGAACCATTTAGTTGAAGCTCAATACTAGGAAACTCTATGATGGTAAGTCTCCGGCATCTGGAACTGACACATTCTCTCTCTTTTTCTTATTGTCCATTTTATTTCAGGACAATGTCTTTATAATATCAAATCCGAAGTCCAAATATCCTGTGCTACAACTTGACTTAACGTGAGCTTGATCCTATTTGTTTGTTCATCTTGATCCTTCATACTTTAGAAATGGCAACTAGCACTAATATCTTCTGTTGGCTTTCTGTTTCACATTTGTATCATTACAGTTTGATATCAGATCTAGTGGTTGTCATCGTTTCTGCTGCTTGTGGTGGAATAGCATTTGCTTGTGCTGGACAACCGGTTAGCTAACTTGACTGCTATATGCTTTATGATTGACCACGAGTTTCTCTCACATCCTTACTGCTTGTTTAATTCCATTCTTTCTCTTACTTTTTTGATATCATCCATCGGCAGCCTTTATGATTCAAGATGCTTTCTTTACTAGCCCACATTTAAAGAACCACTGATGTCAATGAAACGCTATATTCAGGTATTTACTGGATACCTGCTAGCAGGATCTGTAATTGGGCCAGGGGGCTTCAGCTTTGTCAGTGAAATGGTACAGGTAAGTTGGCATGCTGTTTTTTCCCCTTTGTCTCTTTCCTTGTGATATGATATTATTCCACAGGAATCCAGTAAGGTTCAGATATGTAGATATATTTTCATTTACAATTTCATTTCTCAGACTCAGGCAGCTGTGAAGTTTTCCATAAATTCTACCGTTCTAGTGTATGTGCAATATTTGCAGTTGAAATCTAGCTGAGATCATAAAATCATAGATGTCAAGTGCCTCGTGTCTTTTTGGTCCTTATGTCATTAGTTTGGTGTCTTGTCTAGTTTTTCTTAAGTCATTCACTACTTTAAACCTTTTTCTTAAGCTGATGCAGTATATATTTCATACCAATCATAGCCAGTAATGTTACTTACTGTTAGGCTGAGCTTTCTTAACTCTAATCCATGAATTCTTCTCTTCATACTTTGAACTTTAGTAGCAATATTTGCTGATGAAACTTGTACAATTGTGAAGTTTGCTACTGAGATACCTATGCTGTTTAGTTTTCTTCTTGTCTAGCAAGGTTCTACACAAAATTTATTTTCTTATAAGATACTGTAAAATTAACAGGTGGAGACAGTGGCACAATTTGGTGTTATTTTCCTCCTGTTTGCACTGGGTCTGGAGTTCTCCGTCACCAAGGTCTGCACATTTTCCTTTCTGCTTGTGTGGTTTTAACTTTTAACTACTTTACAACATAACCTTTTGCATTTCTGCTCCAAATGCAGCTTCGCGTTGTCCGAGCAGTTGCTGTTGTTGGAGGCCTTCTCCAGATTTCACTCTTTATGTGCCTTTGTGGATTGATAGCCTCGGTATATTATGCATTCTTTAAGTTCTCATAGGCCAACATTCTTAAAGAAATTTTATTATATGGACGAGGATAAGAAACTATCCACAAGATGAAATAAAGAGTATATAGAGTTCTGTATAACATATATGCAGATTTCCCCATTACATCCCTGCTGTAACTTGGTGATGCCTCTAATAGCATGTTTCTTTTTTATCCTTTGCCAGTTCTGTGGAGGTAAGCCTTCAGAGGGAGTATTTGTTGGTGCATTTCTCTCAATGTCTTCGACTGCTGTGGTAACCTTCTCTGGCATAGATTGATTAATTTTTGTCTCTGGCATAGATTGATTAATTTTGCTTCTGCATTCGTGACACTGCATTCAAATACGTTATCTGTTTCACAGTTCGCTAGATTAAGTTTGTTCTGTTTGATCTCCTTCTGTTGTATGATGGCAATGGCTTACTGCATGCATATGGCTGTAGTTCAAATGAGCCTTGTCCTGCGAATTGCTATCAAGCAAGGAGGATGAAAATCCTTAATTTGTGCCCTTTGATTGTATATATGTCTTGTTCCTCTGCTCCTCCTGCAGCAATGACAGTCTTTGGTATTCCAGCCATATATCCGGTTTTCATTTTGTTGGCCAGTTAGGTGTATCTTTCAACTTTTCTTTCTTCACATGGGCATTGGCGGGCAGATTTACCAAGGAAGGTCATGTCTGAGACATTTGGAATACTACTAAGTTGTGGTCTTGTCAATGTTGGTCACTGCTGTTGTTTTAAACTATTTTTATAATATGGTTACTTAAATGAGACCGGACACTAATAAGTATCTACCAATGGAATGAACAACTATGCTGGTTATTCAATCTTTCATGATTAATACAAGTAATGATACACTAGCCAATGCAGTCTGCTACTGTAAGAAATGGCTCATTTGTAATTATAGTTGTCATTGTGCCTCTTTGAGTCTGTCCTTCTCTTCGTTGGCATCTTTTGCTATTATGTTGTAGTGCTATCACTTGCCTGCTATGCAAGTAATGAAGTAATGATACAGAACCCATTATTCTGACTGCGGGGCTTCTTGTTCTTTTTTTTTTTTTGGTTGACCTGTCTGTTCATCTGTCTCCACTGTTTTCTTATCTATGGTTACATTTGTTCTGCTGCAGGTTTTGAAATTTCTGATGGAAAGAAATAGCATAAATACCCTGTACGGTCAGGTCACTGTCGGTACCCTCATTCTGCAGGTATGCTACTCGACTTGCAACGTCAGGGACTAAAAAATGGACAATTTCCGATGTTTGGGTTTTAGCTTTATAATTTTATGAGTGCTATTCATGGAGTTTCCTTCTCATATTTAGATTTATGATATGTCAGGACTGTGCTGTTGGCCTGCTGTTTGCTTTACTGCCTGTCCTTGGTGGTACATCTGGCGTTCTTCAGGGGGTGATATCCATGTCTAAATTGTAAGTATCTGGACCCCATCATACATGAATTATATACGTTTTTAAAAGTCGAACATGCTAATGCTCAATTAAATGTAGATGTTATTAGAAGCAAACATGATTAAATTGATATAAGCTGTGCTCTAATCATGACTTCTTACAACTGTTGTTTGCACATCACTGCACCTGTTCACTCTTTGTTTGGGAGAATATTATGCATGTACTTAATTTTTGTAGGTTGTAAGTTCTTAAGGTGGTTAAAGACATGAAGTTAAGCACTTGAGTTTATTTGGTATCTTTTTTATATTTTGCAGACATACTTGCATAATTGATGCTGTATTTACTCATTCTTCATGTTTAGTCTTGTTGCTTTTAGGGTTGTACATGTAATCTTTTGTAGTTCATTAATTTGGTTCAGATTCAGTAATCGCCACATTTCATATTTTTTATCAGGTTAGTGTTGCTACTTGCGTTTTTGGCCGCTTTAACAATTCTATCTCGTACCTGTGTACCATGGTTCCTAAAGCTTATGATCAGCTTATCATCACAGGTAACCTTTTGTCCAAGTTTATTTTAATGCCATCTTCTATTGTGATCAAAATTTTGACTGTGGTTTATTTATACAGACTAATGAACTCTACCAGTTGGCATCAGTGGCATTCTGTCTGCTTGTCGCCTGGGTAGCCTTTCTTCACCTTATTTCTTCTTCCTCCATCCGGCTGACTCCTAAATTGTTTTGTGTATTATTGTACTATCAGAACACCAGTTATATATTTCTTATATCATAGTAGAATGTTCCGTCGACTCTTATACTTACCTGAGGCCCTTCCAAATATGTACACTCGTGCTTATGTGATATTGTCTAATTCCAGTGTAGTGACAAGTTGGGCCTAAGCCTTGAACTGGGATCCTTTGCTGCCGGTGTGATGATATCCACGACTGATCTTGCCCAACATACACTCGAGCAAGTAAGACTCTTTTATTTCCATCTTGGAAGTCATAATTTGTCAGAACCCTCATTATTAATACATCATTCCTCCCGGATGCTTTCTCTTCCAGATGTCTGTAAGACTAGACTGCCTGACATCTGAAGTGCCTTTTACCTCTGATACGACTATTTGTGTCCATATTGTATTTCACTACGTGTGGATTCTGAATAGGTAGGCTAGCATTCTGTTGTATAATTTCAATAAATGACAATCAGTTTAAGAGGATTTACTCACAATGTGATAACTATTTAACTCTGTCAAGATTGTGACTAATGGTTCTGTGGGCCTGCAACTTCGGTAAATGTGGATTTTGTCCCTCTTCAGTGTGTCTGAAATATGTCTTTGACCTTTTCTTCGAAAACATTATTCCGGGGAACCAGGTGCTCATTTGCTCATCAGTCCTTTTGAAGTAGGGATCTAGTTTATGGTATCATTTTGGGTATTACCTGTCTATGTTAATTGTATGACCTTGGTTAGTTTTAATTAGATGAAAGGATAAATTGACCTTCAATGTGGAAGTTATGAATCCGGCAATATTGTTTGCTATGCGTTTGTCTTGGTTGAGAGCTTATACATCCTAAAAATCTGGGCCTTGCTTAAAATCTCATGCATTTGCTCTAATTTGTATTTAATCGTTTTTCAGGTGGAACCAGTTCGCAACTTATTTGCCGCTCTCTTTTTAGCTAGCATTGGGATGTTAATACATGTCCAATTCCTGTGGAATCACGTTGATATATTACTTGCTTCCGTACTGTTGGTCATTGTTGTAAAAACTATCATTACTGCATCTGTAGTCAAAGGATTCAGATACAACAACAAAACTGCACTCCTTGTAAGATCTCTGATTGCTTCTACAACACTTTGTATCTCCATTTTGGTTATCTTATCTGTTCCATTGACAGAAGGTTCTCAGGTTTATTCATATCTATAGGTTGGGATGACCCTCGCACAAATTGGGGAATTTTCCTTTGTTCTTCTAAGTCGTGCTTCTAATCTCCATCTGATTGAGGTTTGTATTCAATGCCGCTCTTCTTTTGGCATTATGCTAGAGTGTACAAAATTGCTTTTAGCTTCTACATTCTATTGAAGTTTTAGCCTCTACATTCCGAAGTAACTAGCACAAGTTGCAAGGAAGTAAAAGGGCATAGGTCATCTGTGTCCATGATCTGATGCTTACCAATGGACTTGTGCAGGGTAAATTGTATCTACTGCTTCTCGGAACGACAGCCCTCAGTCTGGTTAGTACACTTGCAAAACACTTGTCTGCCGTATGATGATTATGCGAGACTTTACTGAACGTGTAATAAGAGCGTGCCGACATGCAAATTAGGCAGGAAAAGAACACATAGTTTGTGCATAATGAATCAATTTTCATTGCTTGCCTGTTACTTATGCTAGGTCTTTGATACATGAACCAAGACCATTTGAAACCACATCATCTTTTTTAAGCATGAAATTCCAAATGGTTACGTTTAGTGGCCTCTTGTGATTTGCTGGAGGCTGAACTTGGTTGAGATTGATGGTGCAGGTGACGACCCCATTTCTTTTCAAGTTAATTCCTGCCGTGGTACACCTTGGAGTGCTGTTGCGGTGGTTCCTTCCAGACAGCGCCCACGAGGTAAAAACTCATGCCTTTTCTCGTATACCTATTATCTTACGTGGTAAATTCTAGGGTTTAAAATGACGAAAGAACACTTTGATGAATCTGCAGTCATGTTCGTTCGTTTGTTTGTTTGTTTGCTGTTGTGTTGTGTTTGCATGAGTTGTTGAAGTATATGTATGATTTGCTCCTTCCAGATTGGGTATAAAGGAGATAGCTTTCTGTCAGACAGCGCCAAGCGCATAACTGTGATGGTCCACGGCAATCACCATTCATGATTGATGATGATGATGTTATAGTATAAGATTGCACATTTGCTAGGAAAAGCCAAAATTACTTACCTGATGGGCTTCCTTGTTATACTCTCTCTGGGGGGCAGGTGCTTAAAGAAGGCAAAGGAGGTTGAGTTTCACTGACTGTAACAGTCTAAGGCCAACTGCTCTCTATTATCTTCCCACACCCCAAAAGTGCAATTGTATAAAGAAAAAGTGCTCCCTTCCCCTCTTCTTCTCGATGTAGCTTACACAGTCAGTCTTCCTCACCCTCCCTTCCCTGACCAGCAGCAGAATGTTGGATGGTAAAACTCGGCTAAATCGCGGCGACCCGGTCACTATGTATGTGGCTTATGGACCAACAACACACCACACTCCCACGCCTCTCCCCACTACTTTGTAACATGTAGTTTCTAAGCTGTAGAGTGATTGATATAATGTTTGTTTTTTTTCTTCTTCGATTTCTGTTCTTTCCCCCCTCATCCTATTGTCAATGTTTCCATGTCCATTTTTGTTCATCTTAAGTTTTAGGGTTTAGCAACAAGTAATCCACTTTCGAAATCCAAGTATGGAAGTTTTAGGAAGATCAACTATTCAGGGTGCCCCTCTACAAAAAGGATCAGGAATCGAGCTGGCCATTTGGTGTTTTGTTCTCCATTTTTCTCCCCCCAATCTTGTGTATTTAGGGCAACATGTGTAAGCTCTCTCTCGATTCATTAGTTGATTCTTCCTTTTTTTGCTCTTTCTATATGTTTTGGCTTAGGGGAAAGTAGAGTGCACTATATGGCTGCAATATGTGAAAAGATTTCTGCATTACTCGGCAGACTCATGACAGTGGTCGATTTGGACTTGCAGTTTTGCGTGTTTTATCACGGGGTTTTCACAAAATGAGTGATGTAGAAATTGAATTACGAAAGACTAATGTTTTCGAAACTTTATCATATCGATTTGATTGGAAATACTAGATGATAAGATCTTACCCACACTCTATAATTATCAAATTTCAAATATATAAAACCATGATTATTTAATCCGGTTTCTAATTCCTCCCCTCTTAGTTTTTTAGGCTAAAAGAAGGATAAGTTGCAAATAATTTGACATCGTAGGTGATGAGCACATGGTAGTCAATCAAGATCCTCAACCCGTTGGTTGATCCGAATCCGGTCGAGCTAGTGGGTCAAGGGTTAACCGGTCACTCGTTTTAGCTCGGAAATATGGAAAGAGTCATTATATTCTACTTATCCTGATAAATTATATCAAATTTCATCTAACATATGAGTAATAACATGTAACATTACACTAAAGTAACATGTCGTACTTAGATCCAACATATAGTGAAAATTCACACACACTTATATAACATCAATATTCCAATGTTCAACTAAGGATTCCAAAGATTGAGTTAGGCGAAAAGAAAAATCGGAAAATAAACGCATTTCGTAAACCAAAGAAAAAAAAAATGACACATTTTGACCTCCAACCCAATACCTTGTAACGGCCGACCCGACAAGTGCGTACGACCTATTTTTCTCACCGAATCAGTATTAAAGTGGGTCGACCCTCGAGTTGACAAAGTCAATACAATAAGACAGCTCCCCAGCTGTGGCCTATTCTGTTAGTTGAGACGTCCCTTTTGCTTGAAAAGCTCTTTCATAATCGTGACAAAAATATCAGTGTCCTTTTTTGGGGTATGTACCAAGCGAATCTAAGCATATATCTTAATTGAATTGACAATTGTTGCCAAACGGGAATTAATACTGTATACTGTTCGGTAAACGGTGCATTATGTGTTGTCTCACCAACTTTAAACTGCTGCTAACTGCATAAATTAAGGCCATAACCGAATTCACTTCCTTCGTGCAGGGAAGAAACCTGAATTGTTTGACGAGGAAAGCTTACTCGCCAAATATGTCATTGATAAGTAATTCGATTAAGTTCGATGGGGTTGAAAGCTCATTCCAAACAAAAGTATAGACAGACCGTGACTCTATTCTCTATACGATAAGCAGTGGTGGATACATAATTCTTTGATAGATGTGTCTATCGAATTTTGTTTTTAACAACTTGAATGTATAAAATAAAAGTAAAATGGTTGTATACACGATAGTATGAATAAATATACTAACCATCATTTCTCACATTTCACAATCGTCTACCACCCCTATACCACTGTGGTACATAATGAGACTGAAAATTTCATAAATATGTAGACCGGAATAGATAATGGCGAACTCGTTCCTAAAATTTGTTTGGAAAATGAAGTTGAAAACGAAGGTGGTATAGGATGGTAATGAGTGGTACGAATTTTTTTACCTCTCGAAATATATTGATTTATATAATTTTGTAGATTAGTAGATTACAATAAACATGTTCCATATGTGCAAATTTTAAAAAAGAAATCCAAGTTAAAAGTAACAAAAAAGATACCTATTGATTGTAAATATACAATGTCTTTTTATCTCATGGGCAACCCAAGAAATCGGTTGACATCATCAATCTCCCGCATTGCTTTGTAAGTAAATCATCATTGAATGACCCGAGTCTTCGAAAACCCAAAACCGCCTAATTCAACACTTTTCGTACTTAATCTCTTATTATTATTATTATAGAAATAACACTCGCGATCAAACGAAAGCATAAGCAACTTCACTGGTTTGAAACCTCTGTAATCGAAGGATGGGAAATACTTATTTCTAGCTCCACTAAAGAAAATCAAGGTTTCTACCAAAAAAAAAAAAAAGAAAATCAAGGCAACGACTTCATTATGCACCTACATTGAGAGTATTCAAATGATTAGGTTTTGCTTAAAACCTAATCATGTGTGGCCAAACTCCACCAATTCCCTCTCACTTTTATGGCTTCCTTATCCTTTTTCAAGAATGAAATACAACCATAAGAGTTTTGGAGATGTGCTTCTTTACTGGTCGCACAATAATATTGCTCCCCCAACGAACGAAAAACACACCTAATGTCGGTCCAAGGTTTTCCTGGTCCCATGCGGAGACAGATAACAAAACCCACATATCTTTTGGCAGAGTGGATCATTAATAGACCGGGCCAGAAAAATTTGAACATCTTCAGAAAAGGGCTCACAGATTTTGCACAAGTTACATATCGAAAGAGAATGAGTGCATCTGTTCAGACTTTATAGGACGGTTTTAGGGTAATGACGAGTCGAGAAATCCAACTTTAGCTTTTCGGCGTCAAGAGCTGCATATGGATGTGGTACGTTGGATACATTATCTAACTTGGATATTTGTTCTGTGACGAGTTTTACACTTACTACTTCTGACGTGTGTGATTAAAAATCAAATGGCTCTAATTAACTAGGTCCAGACTTTTGCCCCGAATAATATGCAACGATATATATATATATACTGTCTCGTGATATGGATAAGGCATGGATTGATATGATGAAATGGGAGACCAGAATCAACCCACAATATATCATATCTGCTCACTGTCACCAAACTTACGTACGATATATATATGTCCTCTGTTTTTATTACAGTCAAGTTGGGTGAGAGAGAAACAAACATGTTCAAGTGAAGACATGAACCATGAATGGGCTAACATTTCTTTTTATTCCAAGAAACTAGCCTAGTAATAGTATATATGATTATATAAAACCAAGAATTGAAAAAGTACTACCGGAAAGTAATTGTTAAGGTATTTTATAATGAAATAGTGATATAACTAATTCATACCGTTAATTACCGTCTACCAATTTTGTCCGCGCGATAGGAGGTTGGTAAAACTGCCAGTAAGATACTGATTTCCAATCCTTTGTATATAACATCCGAAACATTTTAGGTTTCTATCTTGGTCAAACATCACTCACCAAAGAAAAGCATGTGTATATATCAAGGTTCAAATCGGCACTATCTAGGTGTAAGGCGGCTTTTTCGGTCTTGCCTAGCACCTAGCTTGGCTAATGTTGCTTAATCGTGCCTAGCTATAGGAAGCAAAATAGCCGTTTGTACAACCCGATGATTGAAATATCAATTCAAAACACTTCCACACTTCAGTTCAAATGATTAATAATATACTTAACACTTAACAACAAAAGCAGCAACTTACAAGTTCATGGAATTATAGCTCAATAGCTCACAAGTTCTTGACCTATTGAAAATATTAAGAGAGAAATTAAATGAGTTTGTAGATGATATTAATTTATGTAATTCGATATTGCCTATGTTTGGCCCCGGCTTTTAGAAGTGCTTTTCGGGTTCAAAAGCTGAAGCAGAGCTAAACACCTATAAAAGTTTGGCTTTTGAAAAGCCGAAAAACACTTTTTTATAACATAAAAGCAGAAGCTCCGATATGGAGCTTCTGCGAAAAACTGTTTTGAAAATACAAGATTATCCTTACCATATTTTAATTTCATTTCAGAAAATATAATATTTCTTCATTTATATCATTTTAAAAATAAATTATAAAATCAAATTATTTAATATAAAAGAAATCTAACAAGATCCATTTTGTTTATGTAACAATAAATTATTTAATATAAAAGAAATCTAACAATATAAAAAAAATCTAACAAGATCAATACATACATTTATATTATGGTGATTCATTACCATGCAACGATTTAACATTCGCAACTTCCGAATGAGCCCGAAGTCTAGGTCCACTCCCTGTTTTGTTTATGTAATTTCTCTCTTGAGGAATGGTCCCATATTCAGTCACGACAAACTCCCTTAACAGAATTGTTTTTGTATCTCTTGCGTATTTATGGATACCACTTGTATGCATATCGTTGGCGACGTGTATACGTATGCCTTTCATGCAAAAAGTGTATAGTACTCCACCAAATTATGTCCCTTTCATGTCAACCAAATTTCAAAATGCTCCTCCATATTTTCTATCTAAATGATGGTACAAAATCCTTAATATTTGTAGTAATACAGAGCATAATATAATGGTTTTAATTTGGGAAGGAAAAAATTCAATGATCCATGTCATAAAAGTGTAAGGAGGAAAATTAGGGAGTTGCCCGGATT